CAGAGGCGGCTACGTAGCTACGGGCGAGCCGCGGCAGTGGTGGCAGCAGTTCCTGCAGTGGCAGTGGCTGCTGGCAGCAAGAGCCGTGGCAGTGGTGGCTGCAGCGGCAGTGGCAACTGTAGGAGGCAGCGCATCAACAGCAAGGGCAGCGGCAGCAGAGACGGCTATAAGGGCAGTGGCGGCAGCAGCAGCTGCAAGAGCAGCGGCGGCAGTGGCGGCTGCAACGGGCAGCGGCGGCTGCAACGAGCAGCGGCGGCTGCAAGGGCAATGGCGGCAGTGGCAGTTGCATGGGCAGCGGCGGCAGTGGCGCTGCAAGGGCAGCAGCTGCAGCGGCAGTGGCGGTAGCGGCAGCGGCAGTGGCGGTAGCGGCAGCGGCAGTGGCAGAAGTGGCAGCGGTGGCTGCGGCAGCAGTAGGGACTGCAGCAGTTGCGGCAGGTGCAGTGGCGGCAGCGACAGTGGCGGCTGCAGTAGTGGCAGCGGCGGCACCGGCAATGGCAGCAGCAGCGGCAGCAGCGTACAGTAAGTGGCTGCAGTGGTAGTAACTGCAGGAGTTGCGGCAGTGGCAATAGCTGCAGAGAAAGAGGCAGCAGTGGCAGCTATAGTAGTGGCAGTAGCTGCAGTGGCAGCGGTAGTGCCTGCCGCGGAGAGGCACTACTGGCAGTAGTGGCAGCGACAGCAGCAGCAGTGGCAGTGGCGGGTACAGTGGCAGCGGCTGACTGTGGCTGCAGCGGCAGTGGCAGTCGCAGTGGCGAGCTGGTAAGCGACGAGCTGGTAGGTGTTGCGGACAACTAGCTGCTGGCGGCAAGCTGGCGGAAGCCGTGGGCAGCTAGTTGGCTGGCGGTGCTAGCGACTAGCTGCTGGCGGCGAGCTAGAGGAAGCTGCTGGCAGCAAGCTGTCTGGCGCTGCTGGCGCCTAGCTGGCTAGCACCGCTGGCGGCGAGCTGGCTAAGGCGGCTGGCTAGTGAGTTGGCTAATGAACTAGCTAGCGAGCTGGCTAACTAGCTGGCTAGCTAGCTGGAGCGTTGGCTGGCGAGCTCGCTAGCGCGCTAGCTGGCGTGCCGGCCTGCTGACTACCGCACGAAAGTAAAATCGAACGCTGGGGGGGGAGGGAGCTCAAGGCTATGAAGCACGAAATTGGAAGGCTACAGTGCGCAAAATTGAGAGAGGTGCACACGCGGGAAAAATGATAGCTATAGTAACGGCGGTAGCGGGAGTAACGGCGGAAGCGTGAGAAACGGCAGGAAAAAAAAAAAAAAAAAAAAAAAAATCTAACCTAGTTCTATACCATGTTAAAGTTGTGGCTACGGGAGTAGTTGTGACTACGGGAAAATGTCGAGGGATACAAAACTAGGGCTGTACTCACTAAGAACTAAACTAGCTAGGCTATAAACAAATATGACATAGCTAAGCTACATAAATATATTTGTTGATAAGATCGTGTCAGCTCAGCAGTCTTGCTAACGGGCTACGGTCAAGCAGTTATGCATCAGGTTGACACCAGGCACGAGGGTTGAGGGGATGATGGTATATTTTCCAGCGCTGTACCTTTCTTTGTCGGGTGTAGGCTTTAGCTATAAATTTGTTATGAAATTATAACTCAGAGTATAGCGTAAAATACTATAAGGGAGCGTGACTACAAAATTTCTCTAACAATGAAAGGCTTGGGGGTTATACAGTTCTGGTTGACCAGGTTGAAAGTGGAGAGTTGGGCCGGTCAAGGGCTCGGTAGTCCCAAGGGTGACGGGGTCAAATTGGGTTCGGAGCGCCTTGGTAACAGGTTCAGGGCCGATCAGGTCGGCAGGGGTGGTTTGACGCGAGATTTGAGGGCCGAGGCTGCGGACGCGCACTGTTCGCGGTACTTGCTACGGCGAAACCCGGTAAGGATTCGTGAAATCCTTACACAATTGCTCTGGTGCACCTGATTTCTCAGCGTCAGTGCGTCTGTGCTGAAATTGCGAGCTCGTGTCGCACCACAATAATGGTCCGTAACCTAAAGAATGTCAGAGGGCGGATTCCTAACAAGTGTCAGCTATCCCCGGGTCAATGTTCGACGTCCCAGTTCATCATACCTACATCAGAAGCTCCACTACATATCGTAGCCTTCAACACTTTATGTGAAGGGAGCTTGACACTTGCCAGGAATTACCCTTTACAAGTCCTTACCATGCCTACTTCTAAGTGGAGTTCCTAGACATCCCTGCTTTAGGAGGAAGTAAAACCCCAGCCATAGAAGGTCGAAACCGAAGAAAGGCATACGACTTCCCAGGATTTTGTACAAAATCCTTCCAGGTCTCTCACGGTCTGCAACATTGTGGTCCCTTCGGAGATTGGAAGGTGACGAATTGACCCGCGAATTCGGGAACTAAGTCCAGACCTTCATGTTCACGTGCTCAATTCCGGCTGTTGTTGAAGGCTCACCCTAGAGCTTAGCGAGAGAGCCCTCTGCTTTGGCCCTGCCATTTCAGGGTTTGCCCCCGGCCCCAAGTGGTATGGGGAGGAATGTCTCTGATGTGGAGGGCTTCGTAAAAAATTTTGGGGTGCGAGGGGTCTGGGGAGGAATGTTTCTAGTGTGGGGAACTTAGCAGAAAATTTTGGTATGCAAGGGATGTGGGGAGGAATGTCTCTGGTGTGGGGGACTTAGCCGAAATCTTTGGGGTGCGAGGGGTGTGGGGGGGAATGTTTGAAAAGTCTTTGTCGTTAGGGTGGGGAGAGGAGGAATGTCTCAGACGAAAAGATCCGCGCTATGTGAGATCTTAGACGAAGCTCAACACCAAGTCTAGAAATTCATATGGAAACTTAAACCATTTCTGAACGTTCAAACGAAATGTTTTGGCCCATCAAAATATCAGATGAAACAAAAAAAAGCTGGTATGTTTTTCATACAATCAGACGGATTTCGTCTGATAAATGAGACCATGGGACGGAATCGCCTATGGATTACCCGTTAACAAATGGAATTCAAAAAAAAAACTCATTACTGTTAAGGAATCGGTTGAGGGAATGAGAAAAAAATAATGCTTTCTTGTTTCGAATTCCTTTTGGAGTGACAAATCCGCGCCCCCCTGCTCGAGCACGACCCTAATTCCTTGTGGAGGGAAACAGGAGTCAGGTGGTATTTACATATGCAGTTTTGTTTCATTCCGGACGGCTGTTATAGTTACAAGTGAAAAAATAATAAAACCTAATACGGCACTGCATGCCATTCGGGATGGCATCAACCCTAAAGTCTCACAACCAGGTGGGAGTTTAGGGTTGATGCCATCCGAATGATATGTGGGACCCTATGGGTTTTATTTTTTTCCTTCCCGTTAGTGTAACAGCAGTCTGAAAGAGTGAATCCTCCATCGCGGATGTTTCCTCCAAAAGGAATTGGGGTCGTGCTCGAGCAGAGGGGCGCAGATATGTCACTCCGAGGGGGATCACTATCCCCTACAGATTGCCCTATTAAAAGTATAGCATGTACAGATTCAATTAAATTGTTAATCGTTAGGCTGAGGAATCACACGAAATTGTTTCCGTAAGCTGGACGGATTCGGAAACGAAACGCACCCTAAAAAAAACGGAATCACTGGGAAAATGTACTCTTAATTTATTGACTTTAAGGGTCATTCCCCTGTTAGCGAGATGCCTGCGCCAAAGCCGATAAAGTTCACCAAGAGATGATTCCCGCCTCGTAGGACAGGGCTTGGAGATTTTGATTCTTTCGAAAATTCCTTCCAAAGACTCGGTTTTCCCCTGAGTTTCAGGTTGATCAATTTCTGGTTCATTCGGGTAGGGAGTAGAGTTGCTAGAACAGAGTTTTCAGTAGTATCCCCACGCCATCCGGGATCCACTGGAGCCAGACTAGCCAAACTCAGTTTAATTGATCGATTTCGGGTAATGCTTGTTAAAAAATAACCCTTGGTCCTCCCTACCCTGCCGCATGTTGAAGGATTTGGAGTGAGCTGAGTCAGCAATTACATTTCTAGCGCGTCCAGCAGAAGCGACGCGTCGCTCTGTCGCTTTCTCGATGATCGAATATGTGCTCTGAAAAAAATCTATACAGCCAGATCACCTCATGCGCGAGACACTTGGCTTCACGAAAGGTTGCGGGCGAAACGTGATTTGCCAGACACGTGTGACGTGGAGTCGTTCTGGATCTCGGGTTGCCTCTCTGGGATCACCTGATTCGTTCAGTCGGATAAAGTACCCTTCCATCCCGCCACAAAGGGGTAAGGTTGGGTAAATGGAGGTGCGATGCGAAGCGAAGGGACAAATCTGTAAATTTCGCTGGAGATTCAGCGAATGTGGATTTGTGAAAGCGAATGTGGACTTCTCGTTCTGGTGATTTGTGAAAGCAGACTCGGAATAATACCCTTCCATCTTTTAGCAGTCTAGTTCGTTGTGGCTTCAGCACGTGTGAAGTGGCTTGTTCTACAACGAAATTCTGCTGGTCCTGGAAATTCTCGAAACTCCGCAGAAACTAGCACAGAGCGCTTGACTTTTATGTGTCAACCTACAGTTGCTTGGCGGGAAGGTGGAACCACGGTGCTACAGAACAACCACTCCGACTGACCATACTGTATCGCGATGGCGAGTCGCACCTCAGAGCTTTTAGCGGAAAGTGACCTGTTTGGCGGCGGGTACTTTTGACGGGCAACGTCTACGTGGCAGAGCTATCCTTCTCGACTCCGTGATTGTTCCATCCCACTGCCCGGCGGCAACAGCATCAGCAACCCACCAACCAAACTCTTGTCCTCCTCCCTGCCCAATCTGCAATTCTTCTTCCCCCTGCGAGCAAATGGTGTGGCTGGTGATTGTCATCAAGACTCGACTGGTTGGGCCTATCAACAACCTCCTCTCGACAAACGAAACCAAACCCCAAACCCGCAGTTCCCCCAAAACACTCCCCCGTAACCCTCCCCCATCTGCGTGCCATGTCTTGGCCGTCACCCTCTTGCCTGTGCGCCTCCTCCCGTCACACAACCCGCGAAGGGATGAGGCGGAGGAGAATGGGAGGCTGGATTTGCACACGCCTGCACACGTCCACATAGAACCCCACCAGTACAATCCAACTTGCCGAACTTGTCAACATCTCAAGCATTCTGCAAGCACTCTGGCAATGGTTTCACCCAGATCCAAGAACCTCGTAAGCTCACAGTAACCGTCCTTTTGTCATAGCCAACTCCGTACCTCAGCGGTTTCTTCAATTCTCTCCTGACAAAACCTCGCTTGTCCCGACTCCCTCACATAGTCTCCGCCATGTGCCAAGGAGAGAGGCTGGACGGCCCAGCGGCGTCGCTCCATCTCGTTCCTCTCCCGTCGTCGCTTCCCCATCCGGCGGCTGTTGCGGCAGCAGACTTCTTCAGCCATCTCCGCTGCGACCCTTGGACCTCGTCGTCACCGTCGCCGTCGCCGTCGTCGCTGCTGCTGCATCCGCACCAGCTCACCTATCACCGATCGGACACCGATGCCGGCGGAAACGGTAGCTGCTGCACCATCAGCAGAGACGATGCAGCCACCACCACCGCCGCCGCCGCCGCCGCCGCCGCTGCCGCGGGGAGCACGGGCTGGGCCGACGCGATTCACGCGCCGCCGCTTGTGGGCCCGTCGTGCGAGTTGGGAGCGGAATTGGAGATGGATCTGCCTGCCGCCGCCGCTGCTGCTCTGGCCAGCATTGCTGCTGAGCTGGAGGGCGACGTGTGCTCCCCGCGAGGCCGCAAGGACCATCAGCGCGCCGCGGCGGCGTTTCATAAAGTCGGGCAGCGTGGTGGGACAGACGGGCAGGTGTGCGGCGGGCAGGCGGAATGGCCCGATCGGCTGCTGGAGAACTGGTCGTCGCGCGCGGAGGGCGACGACTCGGAGGAGCGGTGTTGGCGGAAGAGCTCCCCGCAGTGGGGGGAGAGCTCTTTCGGCGACATTCTCTCGGCGCGCAGAGGCACATGCACCGACACCGTGACGGGCGACGGCCGCGGTGGCGGCGGCGGCGGCGGCGGTGATATCGCGGATTTTGCCGCGGAAAATGCCGGCGGTGGCGGTGCTTCTGGGGAGCTGTTGCTCGACGCGGTGCTCGCGGCGTGCAACTTGAAGGGCGCGGCGGGGCGTGAGCGGAAGCCTTCCGCTGAGGGGAAGGGTGAGGCGACGCAGCCGGCGCGTTTCGCGGGCGCGACGGCCGCCGCTTGCCCCCCCGCCAACTCCGGTGCCGCGCTCGCCGTCTCTACCGCCGCGAATAGCGCCGACGCAGCCGCCACATTTTCCGGCATGGTTCCGTCGGCGAGCGAGGAACTCGAAGCGTGCGCGGCGCGGCGCGAGATGGCGACGCTGGCGGCGGGGCGACTGCCGACAGACTACCCTCCCCACAACTCTGGCACGACCAACGAGCGCCACAGCGACGAGCGCGGCAATGACTTGAGGGAGGGCGCTCGTGGATTGGCGCGGGGGGCTCCTCCGCCGTTCGTATCGTCGTCGCTTGCGGAGGTGGCGGCTGCTCTGGAGCGAGAGACCAGCGGCGGGAGCTCCAACAGCAGAGGCGGTGGCTGGGACGGCAAGGGCGACGAGGGGATCCGCGCGTCGTCGTTGCTACTGGGCCGAGGGCATGGGGTGCCGGCGCCTGTGGGCGCTGGTGGCGCTGGCGGTGCGAAGGGAGGCGTGGGAAAGAAGCGCAGATGGTGCGACGTGGCGCTCATGCTGGCAGGGGGTGCTAGCGGCCCCAGTGGTGCCGCCGCGGCCTCTGCCGCCGCCGCCGTGGCAGTGGCGCCGGTGGCTGCTGTTGCGGATATGTGGGGCCGGAGGAATGGAGAGCAAGGGCAGCAGCAGCAGCAGCGAGCAGCGTCGCTGGAGGTAAGCAGTCTGTGATTGTCTCCTGCCCGTGCTGCTCCCTGCTGTGTGCAATGCAGGTGCCTCATCGGACCGTGTGTCTTGTGCCTCGTGTCTTGCGTCGTGTTGTCTTGTGCGTGGCAGGATCAATTAGAGGACCTCATGCAAGGCTGCCAGCAGCAGCAGCAGCAGCAGGCTGAGAGGCAGCATCAACTCGCTCTGGCGTTCCCCATGCCTGCCTCCGCTCCCTGCGTCATCTCCTCGTCCTCCGACTCTGCGCCGCCCTCCCACCACCCACTCCACCTCCACCCCTCCTCCTCCTCCACCTGCCCCTACCCCACCTGCCCCTACCCCTACCACACCGCACCGTCTCTCTCCGTGCCATTCCCTTCGTCACCTCTCCTCCCCTGCCCGTGCTCCGGCCTGTGCGCTGCTGCCCCCTGCTGCTCCGGCGCGCTGTGCTCCCCCGTGGACGCAGCTGCGGGGCACCACCGGTGGGGCCAGCACAGCTCTCTGCAGCAGCAGCAGCAGCAGCAACAGCAGTTGTTGCAGCGGCAGAGCGGGCAGTGGGAGGGCATGGGGCGATGGATGAGCTCGTTGACTGGCCACGCATGGATGGGCCAGCAACAACAATCCCTGCCGCACTGCTACCATCTGCACCAGCACCAGCACCAACATCACCACCACCACCACCAGCCGCAGCAGCAGCTGCTGCCTCAGCGTCAGCAGTTCCAGCAGCAGCACCAGTACCAGCATCAGCAGCAGCACCAGCGCTTCAGCTTAACTCGGCCGGCCTCCTCTTACAGTCTCACCAGTGGCAGTGATTTCTACCCAGCGCCTTTTCCCCTTCTGAACGGCCCCAGTCTTCTCCCCATGCCAGCGCACGAGCAGCTTTGCTCCCCGAGCCTGTTCTCCGTGCCTGTGACTTCCAGACCAGCTCAGCTGCCTCGGGCGCGTACCTCCTCTGCTGCTACTGCTGCTGCTGCCAGGCTGAAGTGCGGGCGAGGGAGGGGCGCTGCCATGGCTGCAGCATCGGAGAAGGAGAACAAGAGAATCGCGGCAGCGGCCCTGCAGTGGAAGCAGCAGCAGCAGCAGCAGCAGGACACGTTCGTGCTGCCAGGGATGCCGTCAAGTGTAGCATTCCCAACCACGCCAGCTATGTCAGCGATGCCAGTGGTGCCAGCAACGCCAGTGACGACGGGAGTGCTCCGAGTGACAGCAACGCCACGCATACCTGGATCCGCGTTGGCAGCTGCGCCACGTGCACCCAGCGGGCCAAGCGCTGCCACCGCCGCCGCTTCTGCTGCCATTCCTGAGGGTGTTTGGCGGATCAATGGCGGAAGATACTTTCCCCTGTGGGATGAGCAGAATCAGCAGAAGAAACAGCAGCAGCAGCAGCAGGGCGCGAGGCGGCATAAGCGGTTCAAGCTGGTGTCTGCAGGCAGCCACAGCGATGCCTCAGCCATGGGGTCCGTCACTGTCGTCGACAAGCTGTCCTTTGAGGCCGCCCCACCAGCTGCAGCAGGTGTGGCAAGTGCGGCAGGTGTGGCAGCAAGTGCGGCAGCAGGTGGCCGTGGCGGCTTGGACCTGCAGTGCACTGAAGTCATGTAGACAGGTGCGCACCACACCACCGTCCTTGCCTCCTCCCACCCACTTCCCCTTTCTCCCTGCCGTTCTCCTGCCGTTCCTGCTGCTTTGGCCCTCGCTCTCTTGTGAGTTCAGTCAGTCTGCAATGGTCATTCATTCTCATGTGCTGTGGTGGCGTCTTCTCACTCATTCCCACTGCTGTTGCTGTTGCTGTTGCTATTGCTATTGCTGTCCTTGTGGCGTGCGTCCAGGCGGCAATCCCCGCAGAGCTGCCGCAACCATTCGTTACTGCACACATGTTCATCGGCACTCTCGCTTCACCTGACCTCTGCATCCGTTCTGCACTCTTGAGGCTCCGCCCCCCCTCGTCCCACCCATTCGCTCCTATCGCTGTGGTGGCGTTCGTTCTTCGAAGACGCCGCCCTCTATGCCGCCCCCTATGCCGCCCTCCATGCCGCTCTCCATTCTGCCACTGGCGCCACCATTACACAGTCGCACAGCCACACAGCCACACTGGATCAAGAACTCAGTTTGACGCACACCATGCCCGCTTCCTACCGCGCATGCATCCCGCATGAGCAATTCTTTCATCCTTTCTCATAGCTATTGTTTCGTCCACTCTTGTAGCCATTTTTTCATCCATTGTTTGGTTTACGTGCCATTCGCTCCATCCATTTCCGCTCCTCGCTCACCGAACCATCCACCCGTCATTGGACACCTCATCTTTCAACCGTCCCTCCATTTGACAACCGCGGTGCACCAACTGCAACCACCAGCACCGCCAGACCCCCTTCCACCTCCGCCCCGCCCTTGTTACCAATTCACCATCAACATCACCCGTCGCCATCACCGTCAACATCACCATCGCCATTGCCATTGCCACCACCATCCCGGTCGCCACCGCTGCCACTGCCACTGCTGCTGTCCCCGTGGTTCACCACCATTACCACTGCTCCTGCCGACCTGCTGAGACAAGCACGCAGCCCAGGCTCCCCACACGTTCCACGTGTACCACACCTGCGCCAGCAACCGCAGCTCCATAGCTTCCAAGCCAGACAGCCAGCCAGCCAGCCAGCCAGCCAGCCAGCCAGCCAGCCAGCCAGCCAGCCAGCCAGCCAGCCAGCCAGCCAGACAGCCAGCCAGACAGCCAGCCAGCCAGTCAGCCAGCCAGACAGCCAGCCAGACAGCCAGCCAGCCAGACAGCCAGCCAGACAGCCAGCCAGACAGCCAGCCAGCCAGTCAGCCAGCCAGCCAGCCAGCCTGCCAGCCAGCCGGCGCTCACCTCTTGCCTCTCCAGCCTCCCTCGCCACCGCCACCAGTTGTGCGTGCGTTAGAGAGGCTCCTCACTTCTAGAAAATTCCCATTGGTCTGCAATGCAGCATCACTCAGCAACCCCCCACGCCATGCTCACAGCCCCTCGTGCCCATGACTGTGCCCCTCATGCTGCGAGTGAGATGCGTGGCCAGTCAGCGCGGTGCGGCCGTGGTTGTGGTGTGGTGTGGTGTGGTGTGGTGTGGTGTGGTGTGCCACGGCTCACTGGTGGTGCCACGGCCCACGATGCCATCACACCCCCACCTTAACCATCTGCCATGGCTTTCAGAGAGGAGCGTGGGGCTGGAGCCTGGTGCTGTTGGTGCCGGGTCAAATGCAGGGAGGCGAAGGGGGGTTGGGTAGGGGTTCCCTAGAGAGTGGTATCTGTAGTGCCATGTGTAGGGTGATCTTGCCTAGGCCTAGCGTCCTGTTAGGTGATCATGCCATATGATACACTGGATGGATGTGTAGCAGGTGAGGGGCATGCTTGCTTGCGAGTTCAACAGTCTGGACTTATCTGCCATGCTACAAACTTGTATTGGTACGTGCAGAGAGCATCCTTTCCTTCCCTTCTAGGAGTCAGTTCAGGTTGACTTCTTAGAAACTTAGGACTAAAGGTTCTTAAACTTAGGAGGCTAGGTTGGCTAGGATACTAGGAAGAAGACCGCCATGGAATGGCGTGAGGAAAAACGGATCTAGGAGGTGAGAGGATGTCGAGAAGAAAGGTGGTTGGATTAGGAAGAGAGGGGAGTACAAGGAGGGGTTTGTACCCCCTACAGAAAGGTTCAGTAACAACCTACCAAGCCTATATTAAATTATAACTTATATAATTTTAACACACCCCCTAGGCTTGGTAGTGTCAAGCCCACGCACACCCCCACACCCACACCCACACCCACACCCCCTAGCCCAGCACCCCCATTCCCAGCAGGAGCCGCAACGACTCCGGAAGAGGGTAGGTCTCACGGCCCCTTGAGACGGCAATGGCGGCAGCAGCGACAGTGACGACGGCGGCGGCGGCGGCGGTGTGCGGCGGCTCCAGGCCTGCGGCAACAGCGGCGGCGCCGGCGGCTCGAACGACAGAGGCTGGTGCGGCGGCCCCCGCCCTCTCGGCGGCATGTCCTGTCTCCTCGGCGGTGGAGAGGTCCCTCACATGGCAGTCATCGGCTGCAGCAAGAAAGGGGGGGATGCAGGGGAAGCAGGTGCAGGTGGGGGGGGAGGGGAGGGGGCGGGGCGAGGCGAGTCTTCAGCGACGCGCCATAAGTGGCGCGGCGCTTACTGGCAGGAGGGCGGGCAGGTGGCGGTTACGACGGCGTGCTGCCCGCTGCCGCCCATCCACGCTGCCGCGGCAGCATGACGACGCCGCCAGGGCGCGGCGTCGACGCTGTGGCGGCACGCCGACGCTGCAACGGCAGCAAGGTGACGCTGCCACGGCAAAGCATCGACGCAACCGGCTGCGGCCCGACGGCGCCGTCGACGCTGCAGCAGGACGTCGACGTCGCGACGGCAGAGGCAGCGTCGATGCCACAGCGGGACGTCGACGCTGCGACTTCAGAACGACGGCCCGACGCCACGGCAGCGCGTCGAGCCGGTCGCGGCACGACGCGGCCAGTGGCAGCGCGACGTCGCCACTGCAGCAAAACGCGGCCGCCATGGCCGCTCGAGCTAATGAGAGTGAGGAGTAAATTGCGGAAGCGTGAGGAGGCGATCCAACAGGGAGGATCTCCTGCTCTGATACCATCTTAGAAACTTAGGACTAAAGGTTCTTAAACTTAGGAGGCTAGGTTGGCTAGGATACTAGGAAGAAGACCGCCATGGAATGGCGTGAGGAAAAACGGATCTAGGAGGTGAGAGGATGTCGAGAAGAAAGGTGGTTGGATTAGGAAGAGAGGGGAGTACAAGGAGGGGTTTGTACCCCCTACAGAAAGGTTCAGTAACAACCTACCAAGCCTATATTAAATTATAACTTATATAATTTTAACATGACTCTCTGCCATGAATTAGGGTGTATTCCTAAGAAGTAGCATCAGATCAGCATTGTGGATTTAAGGGTACCTGCCTACCTACAATATGGTGCAAGGACAATGCTCACAGAACACAGGTGAGGAGGAAGGAAGAGATCAGCATGTTTAGTACTCCTGGTTGATTGCTTGGTTGGTTCTGTCTTTTACCTTGCTGGCTGGCAGTCCAAGGCTGGGTGAGTGAGAGGCTTGGGTGAATGCACCCTTCGACAGATGAAAGGCATGCCGCAAAGGGCAAGCAAGATACCTTATTGAATAATGACAATTTTCTGGTGTAGCCGCTTTAACCAGGAGCCAAGAAGAACCTGCTAGTTGTCTAGGCAGGCAGGTACGGTACGCTCAATCAGAGACTGCTGCACTTCACCACCAGGCCAGGAAGATCCCTCCCTCCTCTCCTCTCAACAATAACTGAAACGCACACCCCAAACCCAAAGGGGATGTGCAGCGCACTGCCCTGCCACACTACCGGCTCTTGCCATTCCCCACCAAGAACTGGGTTTCCATTCAACAGTACGTACAACACAACACCTCACCTCCCACCACCTCCTGCGCAAATCCCCTAACCCATCCCCTACCCACCCCCACCTTGACCCTAAACCCCACACCCTACACCCTGCACCCTACACACGTCCACCTGCTACCCGCCGATGGCCACCTGCAGCGCCAGTCCCGGGCGTGCCCTCCACCCTACCTGGGTGACCCGCCTGGCGAGCTCGCTCTCCCCACACGCCGCCAGGCACGCTGCCATGCTCCCCAGGGGGCCCTCCCCCAGCTCCTGCACCCATGCTGGCGCCCACTGCAGCGCAAGCGACACAAAAGACACTGCGTACAGGTGCCAATGCCAGTGCCAATGCCAGTGCGAATGTGAATGTGAATGTGAGTGCGAGTGCCATGCGGGGCCGATTGGGAGTTTTCCAGGCTCGGAGCGCCTCTGGGTGGAGGCTAGTGCCGTCCAATGGGACGAGAACAGCTCCTGCAGTCTTGTGCTGGGCTGTGAGCGGGGAAAGGGTAGGTTGGCGCCGGTGAGAGTGAGGGCGGTGGTGGCGGTGGTGGCGGTGGTGGCGGTGGGAGCAGTGGTTGAGGGGTTGCCTGAAGCCAGGAGCAGGCACTTGAATGCGAGGGATGCAAGGGCGAAGCATTGAAGTTCTTCCACTGTGCTCTCTAGGAAGGAGGGCGGAAAGGGACTAGCAGCCAGCGCCGCAGCAGCAAAGATACCACCATCAGCAGCAGCGGCAGCGGCAGCAGCAGCGGCAGCGGCAGCAGCAGGCGTAGAAGCAGAACCAGGAGTCCCTGCAGTACCTGGTGCCTTGGCAACGGAGGCAGAGGATGCAGAGCCAGGGGGAGCAGGAGCACGGGCGAGACTAGGAGCGGTGGCAGCGGCGGCAGCAGCAGCGTTGACAGCAAGCGCAGCAGCAGCAGGCGAAGAGGTGACACAGGCATGCAGCCATGCGGGTATGGCCCGGAACAGCAGGTCGCCCAATCCCTCGCTGCCACCTGTCAGATGGAGCAGCATGGCTGCTACAGTGGTAGAGGAGGACAGGGCAGCAGCAGCAGAGGGGGTGAACCAGAGAGGTGAGGAGGAGAGGAGAGGAGGCAGGGTTGACGGTACAGGGGCGGCTGTTGCTCCTGCCAGCATACCCCCACCTACCCCCATTGCCATTGCCGCTGCCGCCGCTGCTGCAGCCGCAGCAGGAGATGCAGCCCCTCCTGCTGCCGCACCTCCCCCGCCTCTGTCCCCCCCGCCCTCCCCTTGCCCTCCCATCTGCCCGCCCGCAACCCAAGGTGTGGAGCCTCCCTCTCCCCGGCCCACCACCATGGCTGCTGCTTGAGTGGTGACAGCAGCAACCACGGCGTCACACATCAGCCCCTCCCGCCCTGAGAGCACAGCAGGAAGACTCAGCCACACCCCGGCAGCTGTCAGCCCCCCCCCTGCCGCCAACCCACCTGAGCCTGTGCCAGTCCCTAGGGGGGAGGGGTTGGACGGATTACCAGAGCCCGCACCACCAGGTGCCCTTTCCCCTTCTCCTGCTTCTCCTCCCCCTCCGCCTCCTCCTGCTCCTCCTCCCCCTGCTGCTGCTGACGGATCTGTGGGGTCCAGCCCTGGAGCGGCGGTCCCACCTGCTGCGCCTGGCAGTGCTGCGTCTCGCACCTGAGGGATCGGAGGCAGGCCGAGGAGGGAGCAGGACGCGTCCAGGTCTCCCACGCTGCCGCTGCGATGGGCGGGGAGGGAGTAGGCTGCTCGGGACGCTCCGCTGCTGCTGCCGCTGCTGCCGTTCTTGCTGCCATTCCCGCTGTTGCCACTATCCCCTCTCAGGCCCGTCCCAGGCTTGCTAGCACCAGCACCAGCACCAGCACCAGCACCAGCACCAGCACCAGCACCAGCACCAGCACCAGCACCAGCACCAGCACCAGCACCAGCACCAGCACCAGCACCAGCACCAGCACCAGCACCAGCACCAGCACCAGCACCAGCACCACCACCAGCACCACCACCATTGGTACCAGCAACACCAGCAGCAGCAGCAGCAGGAGAAGAGCAAGCAGCAGCATTCAAATGGCAGGAGGACCAGGCGCCTGAGGCGAGAGCAGCAGGGGAGAGCAGCAGCAGGAGGGGCAGGGGGGGCTGGGCAGCCCCACGGTAGGAGAGGGCGTGCAAGGCCTGGCCTGCCAGCCCAGCCAGCAGTCGTGCATCGTGGCAGATCAGCTCAGCCATAGCCGGCTCCAGCACGGCTCTGTGAGGTAGCCTTGCAGCCAAACACCCCACCCCGCTGCCGCTGCTGCCACTGCCACTGCCACTGCTGCCGCTGGTGGTGGCGGTGGTGGCGGTGGTGGTACCAGTAAGGCTGGTGACGGTGGAATTGGCTGTGGTTGTGAGGGTGGCGCTTGGTGCGCTGCCTGCTGCTGCTGGTGCGGCGGCAGGGACGGCAGGAGCGGCAAGAGCTGCAGCAAGCACTGTGGCTCCGACGGCTGGAGATGCCTGGAAAGAAGCGCGCAGGAGGAGCAGCAGCAGCAGGTGATACAGGGGGGACGGGCTACCAGCAGGGGAGGAGGAGCGCGAAGAGGAGGACGCGGAGGAGGAGGAAAGAGTGGATGCAGGGGTGGGGTGGGCAGCGGTGGAGGTGGCGGATAAGGGGGTGGAGGAGGCAGTTGGGGGGGTGGTGGAGGACAGGGTGGAGGAGCGGGAAGAGGAGCGGAGCTTGAGGTCGGCCACGAAGGAGAGGAAGAGAGCGAAGGGCAGGGGGAGAGTGGGGTTGGCGGGCGGCTCTGCTGGAGTGTCCGGGGACACAAGAAATGGGGGAACAGAGGTCAAAGGGGCAGAGATCAAAAGGTGCAGGGAGGTGGAAACGGGGGGGGGGGTGGGGGGGGAGTGACAAGGGTGACCTACAAGGGCTATAGACGCACGCCTCCCCACCACCTCCCAGCACCAGACACAAAACCCTGAAACCCCCGCTGGTGCCTCGAGGTTACCCAACCCTAAACCCACAGAGTATCCTGAGCCGTGGAGCGCACTCAATCGCCACAGTGCAGTGAATCGCCACAAAACTCAGGCCTAGCCATAAACCCTTAAACGCACCTGGGACGAGCGGAGTGTAGAGGCCCATATCCAGCAGCCCGAATCTCAAGTGGTTGAGAGCGGTACGCAGGGAGGAGGGGGGGATGAGGGCATGAGGCCAGTCGGGGTGGGCAGAGAGGGGGATGGCGATGTGGGAGGCGGCGAAGGAGGAGGAGAGGCACGCCGACACCGCTGCTGCTGCTGGCGGGGCCAGCGCCACCAGATTGGAGAGAGCTGCCGGAGGAAAGAGAGGGGGGGGGGAGTGGGAGCGAGGGGAGGGAGGGGGGAGAGGGAGGGTGGGAAGGCGATTAGGGTGCTTTGTGTGCACTTTCGTCAACCCTGCATGCATATCCCTGCCACTCCATATGTGTCTCTCCCTTTCCCAGACCGCATGGCTCACCACTGGTGGCGGTCTTGGGAGCGATCTTGCCCGCCACAACAGCCTGCAGTATGGCCGCCACTGCAGCAGGTGCAGCGCGCACCACAGCCCACCCCGTCAACACCCCACTCGCACCCCCCTCCCCTTCCCCCCCACCACCACTGACACCACCACCACTTCCACCTCCTCCTCCTCCTCCTCCTCCTGCTCTGCCTGCTGCTGCCGGCCCCCCTGGTGTGGTGTGTGCTATCCCCAGGGCCCCCGGCACGACTCGGCGCAGCACCTCCCATAAATCATGTGGGTCATGCGCACGGGAGGGGGGGGCGGATGGTGGATGGGGGTGTGCTGTGGATGGTGCAGTGATGCGTGGGGTGAGGGTAGTGGTGGTGTTGGTGGTGGGGAATGTGTGCGGGTGATTCGGGTTGTGTAGCATGAGGAGGGGGAGGGCGTGGGGGAGGGAGGCCGGGTTCAGAAGAGCAATAATAGGAGGTGCTGCTGCTGCTGCTGCTGCTGCAGATGCCTCTGCTGCCGCCGCACCATCTGACAATCCCATGCCACCACCAGCACCATCAGCAGCAGCAGCACCACCAGCAGCAGCAAGGCGGCTACCACTAGCAGCAGCAGGGCGGCTACCACTAGCAGCAGCATGAGCATGTGCATCATCATTGACAGCGGTTGCCTCTCTGTTAGCCATGCACACTAGCATGTCCAGCGACATATGGCATCCACCCATGGCCACTGCACCCATGCCCACTGCACCCACGCCCACTGCACCCATCCCTGCTGCCCCACCTCCCCGCATCCCCATTCTCCCTCTCCCGCCCTGCCCACCCCTTTGGCCCTCCTGCAGGCGCTCCCAACCAGACGGATCCCCCCAACTAACAGCACATGCACTGGGTTGCCAGGAAACCCTTCCATGACTGATGGAGCCGGCAGGGGGGGAAGGACCAGCAGAGGGTTGTGCAAAGGAATGATAGGAGGGCGAAGAGGAGGAGGAGGAGGAAAGCGTGTGTAGTGTGACCGAAAGTGGCTCGAGTGACTCCTGCACCAGAAGCAGTAGCACGGCTGCCCGGGAGAAGATGTTGTGGCTGCCCGGGAGCAGCGTGGCTGCGAGAGCAGCTCCTGCCGTGTCCCGGTCCGCGGACTGGATGGGCAGGCGCCCAAAGGCCTCCGTCAGGGGGAGCAGGGCGGCTGCAACGCGGGGGAGCTGATGGCGAGAGGGGTGACAGGGCGATTGGGAAATGTGAAGGGGGTGGGGGAATGTGAGCGGGGTGGGAGGGGGAAGGGAGGATGATAAGACAGGATGGATGAAGACGAAGTAGAAACAACCGCTACGGAAAACGGCAGGGCATGGCAGGGGCATGGGAGGGGCATGGGAGGGGCAGAGGCATGGCAGGGGAATGGCAGGGGCATGGCAGGGGCATGGCAGGGGCATGGGCATGGCAGGGACAAGGCAGTGTTGGTTGACCTGGCCATGCAATCGAAGCACATGGGTGGCCGATCGCCCCAGCAGCCCTGCCAGCAGGCGATCCAGGGACGAGATCGAGATAGCTGACGCCGCTGCCACTGCTGCTCCCGCCGCCGGTGCTGCTGCTGCTGCTGCCACCGCCGCAGCTGATGGTGATGTTGATGAGAGCAGTGCGGCAGAAGCCGAATTGCCAGCATGGGGAGGCAAGGAAGGGTGAGGAGGGACGTGGGAGAAGAAAGGAGGGAGCGAGGCGGCAATGGTGGGGTAGGCTCGAGAGGCAGTGAGGATGGCCGAGCGCGACAGGGAGGTTAGGAGGTGCGTCACTAGGGACGCTGCTAGCTCCTGGGCGAGGGGGAGGAGGGGACAAGGGGGAGGGAGGAGGGAGAGACATGGAAGAGGGGAAGAAGGCGGAGCTGATTGGCAAGAAGAGGTGGACAGGCAGAGGAGTGAACAGATGAAGCAGGAACGAAAAAAAAAAAACACTGTCCAATCCCTACTCTCCCATTTAACCTTGAAAGGCTATTGCATTCCCTGCCCCACAAGGGAACACCACCTGGGTGCCCTGGCTTTTGAGTCGACTCAAGGGTCACTTCCTACTCTCCCACTCAACCTTGAAAGACGATTCCGTTCCCTGCCCTCACCCGCACTCGCATCCATCCCAGCCCCCTTTGCCCCCTCCCCGTGCACTTGCAGCAGGTGCCAGCTGAGTCTGAGCGTGGCCCCACAGAGCACTCCTGGCTAACTTCCTACTGAACGTTGAAAGACAAGACAAGCCCACACCCTTCCCCCCACACGCCTCCCTGACAACCCCTTCTGCCCTCTCCCCCTGTGCACCTGCAGGTGCCAGCTGAGTCTGAGTGTGGCGCCACAGAGCACCGACGCTGCTGCAGGCGCCCAGGGTGATTCCGATGCCGCCAGGTGAAACGCCAGGAGCAGCTCCTCCTGACTGGGGGGGGCGATGGAGGGAGAGAGAGGAGAGGGACAGAGAGGAGAGAAAGAGAGAGGAGAGGGAGAGAGAGGAGAGGGAGAGAGAGGAGAGAGAGAGGACAGGGAGAGAGAGGAGAGGGAGAGAGAGGAGAGGGAGAGAGAGGAGAGGGAGAGAGGGGAGAGGGAGAGAGAGGAGAGGGAGAGAGAGGAGAGGGAGAGAGAGGAGAGGGAGAGAGAGGAGAGGGCGAGAGAGGAGAGGGAGAGAGAGGAGAGGGAGAGAGAGGAGAGGGAGAGAGAGGAGAGGGAGAGGAACAGAGAGGGAGAGAGAGGAGAGGGAGAGAGAGGAGAGGGTGAGAGAGGAGAGGGAGAGAGAGGAGAGGGAGAGAGAGGAGAGGGAGAGAGAGGAGAGGGAGAGAGGGGAGAGGGAGAGAGAGGAGAGGGAGAGAGAGGAGAGGGAGTGAGAGGAGAGGGAGAGGAACAGAGAGGGAGAGAGAGGAGAGGGAGAGAGAGGAGAGGGTGAGAGAGGAGAGGGAGAGAGAGGAGAGGGAGAGAGAGGAGAGGGAGAGAGAGGAGAGGGAGAGAGAGGAGAGGGAGAGAGAGGAGAGGGAGAGAGAGGAGAGGGAGAGAGGGGAGAGGGAGAGAGAGGAGAGGGAGAGAGAGGAGAGGGAGAGAGAGAGGGAGAGAGAGGAGAGGGAGAGAGAGGAGAGGGAGAGAGAGGAGAGGGAGAGAGAGGAGAGGGAGAGGAACAGAGAGGAGAGAAACGGGGAGGGGAGGAACGGGGAGGAGGACAGGGGGAGGGGAAGATTTTCTAGAAAGCTCACTCACCCGTTGAAATCCACAACCCATTATTTTCTCCACTCGCCATTTCACGGCCTAGTCTCCTCCAGCCACCTGGCGCTTCCTCCGGGTCCCTATCACACCATCGAACCACTCACATACCCGGCCGGGTGAGCGCAGGCGGTTTCTGGGGCGCCTCTAAGAACGAGAAGAGAACCACATACCTAGTGGCTGGATGGGCGGACAGCGAGGCAAAGAGCGGAAGCGAGAGAGGGCCGTTGGCCGTGAAATGCGACCAAGCCGCCGACCCCCCCATGGCTGACTGCGCCGCAGAGGATGAGGAGGAGGCAGAGAGGGGGGTGGCAGAGGCAGCAGCAGCCGCAACAGAGGCGGAGGGGGAGGGCTGGGAGGCGAGGCGGAGGAGGGGAAGGCCCGAGGAGAGGAGGGGCAAGAGGGTGACGGCGGTGGAGGGTGGTATGAGGCCGCGGCGGTAGCATGCCTCCACTGTGAAATGCCAGAGGGTGAGCTCTGGGGGAAGAGAGGGAGAGAGGAGGGATACGAGGTGGAGGGTGAGATGGAAGGAAGGTGGGGAAGAGAAAGGGCGAATGAAGGGGGAAGACGGAGAGAGTGTGCTGTGCATGTGCTGTGCATATGCGTGCATGTGCGTGCATGTACGTGCATGTGTGCATGTGCGTCCATGTGCGTGCATGTGTGTGCATGTGCGCCCATGTGCGTGCATGTGTGAGCATGTGCGCCCATGTGCGTGAATGTGTGCACATGTGTGGCCATGTGCGTCCATGTGCATGCATGCGTGTACATGCGTGTGCTACGACTGACTGACCTTCACCAGAGGCCCCGACAGCAGCAGCAGAGGCGTGGGACACGGCCAGCGGCGAGCCCCCCAGGAAGACAGGCAGGTGCAAGTTGCGGAACACACGCACGGACCCCAGCGCCCCCACCAGCCCCTCCTGCACTGCCGCCTGCGCCTTCTCAACAGCACTAGCAGACACCGCGGAACAAGCCTGGGAACCACTGCCCCTGTCTCCTCCTCGCACCCGCACCACCCCCTCCTCCTCCTCCTCCTCCTCCTCCTCCTCCTCCTCCTCCTCCTCCTCCTCCTCCTCCTCCTCCTCCTCCTCCTCCTCCTCCTCCTCCTCCTCCTCCTCCTCCTCCTCCTCCTCCTCCTCTTCCTCCTCCTCCCCCTCCTCCTCCTCATTCTCTTCCCCTTGGTCCCATGCGTCCCTCCCCTCCAGTTGCATCCCTTCAAAATCCACGGTTAACGCATCCTCTTCCGCCTCATCCGCCTCCTCCTCATCCTCATCCCCATCCTCCCCTCCTCCTCTCGCATCCCTCCCCTTGCCCTCAACCATGCACTCCACCCTCTGCCATGGCCGTTTCCTCAACCCCTTTACCAACCCCCCTCCCCGTGCGCCTCTTTTCCGGCCCTCTACTCGCCCTGACTGACTCGTCGCACCACCATCTCTCCCGCTCCCCCCCTTCCGCCCTCCCATTCCTCCTCCTCCTCCTCCTCCTCCTCCTCCTCCCCCCCCGCCCCCTACCCCCGCCTTCTTCTCACAGAGTTGCAGCAAGCTGGTAACGGCCATGGGGCCCAGGCACAGGCAGAGGGACAAGCGCCCATCCTCGTCTAGTAGATCAAACGGCAGGGGGGAGGAGGGCGGAGAGGAGGGAAATGCAGCAGCAGCAGCAGCAGCAGAAGTAGCAGAAGCAACAGAAGCAACAGAAGCAGCAGGAGCAGCAACAGAAGCAGCAGAAGCAGCAGGGTCTTGGGATGGGGCAGATGGCGAGGGGGCGGAAGGAAGACCGGCAGGGATAGAGCTTGCCTGATGGGAGGGAAGGACAAGGAGGGCAGGAGGGAGGGGATGAGAGGCGAGGGAGAGGTGCGAGAGACGAGATGGGACGGGGTCAGGGCGTCAGATGGTAGGGAGAGGCAGTCAGGGGAGCATTCTGGCAGAGAGAGAGAGGTAGAGAGAGGTAGAGAGAGGTAGAGAGAGGTAGAGAGAGGTAGCACCGTAGCAGCAGAGAAGGGGGTGGTGAGAGGACAGTGCGAGAGGAGGGTCAGAGAAACGGAAAGAGATAGGGACAGAGGCGGGCAGGGGGAGCGGCTGAGAAGATACGACAAGAACGGATAAGACGAGAACGTTTGATTGAGAAGGATCCAAGGGATGGGGATGTTATCATGATATGGCACAAGGAACATGCGCCAGGGAAGGAGGGAGCTTGGGGGAAGTCACAGACCGAGGAGGGGGAGCGAGCGACGAGGCGGAAGAGGGAGAGGAAGAGGTGAAGCAGGCACTCGTGCCATGACGCCCCGTGCAGCAGCTTCAAAGTCAGCAGCACCTCTGACACGCCGGGGGTCATATAGATTGGACAAGAGAACGATGGGAGGCGTGGGGGGAAGGGAGGGAGGGAGGGAGGAAGGGAGGGAGGGAGGGAGGGAGGGAGAAGAATGAGAAAAAATCGCAGCCCTCTCCAACACACCCTCGTTATCGCAGCCTCTGCTCCCTTAATCTGCCCTCTTCCTTCACTCTCGCCTCTCCTCCCCTCCCTTCCCCACCACCCCTGCACCCCCCCTGGCTCTCACCACCACGCCCCCCTCACCAGCAATGCTTTCAGGCAGCGCCCTGCAGCCATCGTCACTCCAGCAGCACCCCACCAGCAGAGGCGGCGCCAGCACACCCACCCCCGTGCCACCGCCCGCGCTGCTGCTGCTGCTGGGGCTTTGGCCGGCGATGGTGGTGGGCGCGGCCGGCACTCTCTTGCTCGTGACGTACGCCTCTAGCAGCAGGTCCAACGCCAGCCAGGGGGACGGGGATGGGAGCACAGCAGAGGGGGATAGCAGAGAGGATTGGCGCTGCTGCTGCTGGCGGGCTGTTGCTGCTGCTGCTGATGGGGGTGACAGTGATGGTGATGCCGGTGTTTCGATGGAGTGTAGGAGGAGAGGCAGGAGAGTGGTGGCAGACGATTGCAGGCCAGCACGGCTGCTGCTCATGCTGTGTGCTGCTGCTACTGCACCTGAAGCACCGTCTGCTATGCCCTCTCCGTTACCAGCACCACCACCACCAGCGCCAGCACCAGCACCAGCAGCGTCCCCTGCCTTGCTCCATTCTCCTGCTCCCCCCCTCCCTCCTCCACCCCCTCTCCCCCCTACTCTCGCCCGTCTCACCCCCTCGCGCACCTTGAGTGCGCGCGCCAGCAGCAGGGAGGCAGAGTGCGGTTTGGAAGGGGGGAAGAGGTGCAGGGTGGAGGGGGGGAGAGCGAGGCTGGGAGGGAGCGGCGGAGGAGGAGGAGGAGTGGCGGGTGGTTGCGATTGGAGGGAGAGTGGTGGGGAGGAGGCGACGGCAGCAGCGAGACGGGCGGTGAGAGAGGCGAGGGAGAGAAAACGATGAAACATGAGAGGCCTGCGGGGGGGGGGGGGGGAGGATGGGAACCATGGGGGAGGGGGAACCAGGGGGAAAGGAGGAAGAGGGGGCGTTGGGGCTATTGGTGGAGATTCAAGGCAAGAGTGCTATGGCGTTATAGGAGGTACCAAGCGACCCATGTGGTGGAGCCGAGCACGCGTGGCGTTACGTGTGACCCATAGGAAGCACGCGTGGCATTATGCGCGCATGGCACATGACGCACCGAGGGACTTGACTCCAGGGAGTGAGCCAGGTAGTCAGGGTAGGAGGAACAAGAGAAGTGGCGTACATGTGTGTGGGTGCGACTTGCAGCAGGCACACTCTCCATTGCGCATGTTGCAGCATGGTGGCCACCACATGCAGTGCCAGCAGCACGTTCTCCCGCACACTCGCCCACTGTGCCTCCCGCCACCTGCTCACATCCACTACCGACTCCACACCGCTGCCACCGCCACCAGCAGCAGCAGCACCACCACCACCACCACCACCAGTAGCTGGCTTGATGATGGTGGCAGCTGCAGTACATGCATCTCCATCAGAAGCAGCAGCAGGCACATGAGCGGCAGCATCACTTATGCCACTAACTTCCATTGCTGCTGCACCTTCCCCTCCACCCACACCCACACCACCACCACCGTTGCCGCCGCCACCATTGCCACCGCCACCATGTTCCATCCCCTCTCCAGCCCCTCCTGCCCCTGCTGCCTGTGCTGCTCCTCCACTCCTCAACCCCACTCCTCCTCCACCATCCTCCCCTCCCGTATCCTCCCTCCCAGCCTCCCCATTCACAGCCATGCTGCGCAGCTTGCGCCCAGATAGGTCATCCAGCACCGCACGTAGCAGCGCGCTCGCCAGCCACAGGGCAAAGCGCGCCACCAGGTCAGATAAGCTGCCCCTGCCGCCCTCGGGCCCTGCCCTGTCCCCTTGGGAATGCCGAGGGGTTTGTCCTGAGGTGCTGCCGCCGCTCCTGTGGCGCCTGGTGGGCGAGAGAAGAGGAGGAGGAGGGGAGATCGCGGAGGAGAGGTAGGAGTGGAAGCTGTATGGTAGGGGGGGGTGTTGGGAGTGGTGGAGTGAGGTAGTGAGAGGATGAGAGGTCAAGCTAGAGTCGAGTGGGAGCGAGTGGGGAAACGAGAGGTGACTGAATACGCAGGAGAAGAAGACAAGAGCGAGGGAAATAAGAGGGGCGAGAGCTGTCAAAAATAGCAAGAAACAAGAACTGCAATACAGGCGTACGAAAAGTAAGGAAGGGGAGAAAGAGGGGGGGGGGGGGAGAGGGGAGGGGGGAGAGAAGGCTTACAGGGGCAAGGGCGGCCATTGGGAGGGAGCCCAGAGGAGAGGAGGGGCGTCGGAGAGAAGCGAGAGAAAGCGGTGGAAGGACGATGGACGACGCCAGCGATGCTGAATGGCGCTGTGTGGTGCGGTGGAGACATGCACACATGCCACACATGCACACATGCATGCATGCGGATTCACATGTGCACACACACAGACGCTCACACACACACACACACACACACACACACACACACTCACACACTCACACACTCACTCACTCACTTACACACACACACGCATGCACGCACGCACTCACTCACTCACTCACACACACACGCACACACACACACACACACACACTCACACACTCACACACTCACTCACTCACTCACTTACACACACGCATGCATGCATGCACTCACTCACTCACACACACACACACACACACACACACACACACGCACACACACACAAGCACACCCACAATTGTGTCGTCAACCAATGGCGTAAAAGCTGGGAAACACACGGCAATGGCAACAGCCACGGCGGACGCAAGAGCGAAGCACACTCGGAAAGACAGCACGGCAGCGAGTGGTCAGCCAGGGGAGCGGGCACCTGCGAGCAAGGATGTGCTTTGTTCTTCAGAATTCTCAAAGGGAGCGAGTGGTCAGGGGAGCGGGCACCTGCGAGCGAGGAGAGCTACGACGTGCAGCGGCACGACGAGGTGACACGCCATGCCGTGCTCCACATACTGCCATACCCGCCCCTCCTCCTCCTCCTCTTCCCCTCTCCGCTTCTCCCTCTCTTTCTCCCTCTCCTTCTCCTCTCTCCTCCTCCCGCCTTCCGCGGCTTCCCGCACTGCCTGCGCCGCGCCTGCAGAAGCTGGCGGAGCAAGCGCATTGCGCGCGGCGCTATCCGCGCACAGGCTCAGTGCTTCCGCCAATGCCTCCGCTAGGTCGAGCGACGGCAGCGGGAGGCCCCGCGATTTGAGGGCCTGCGACACGTCAGCACCCCATGTGAGAGACGAGGCGTCAGACGCGGCTGCGCGTTTCGTAATGGTCAGCAAGAGGCGGAAGATGGAGGACGGCTGGCTCCGACCGACCATGGCGCTCGCGCGTGGGGTGTCTAAATCGCTGTGAGATGCTCAATGGCGGGACAGAGACCCTCAGCCTCAGCGGGTGTCTAAATCGTTCCGGGAACTAGAGACACGAAATGCTACCTCTTTGTGACGTCCCGGAACGTCACAAAAGGATGCTTTAGACTCGCCCTCAAATGGCGAAGGTGAGAGCTAACCCTTAGGAAAAGAGAACGTTGCGACGGAAGTTCAGCCTAGAAATTAGGTCGCATCATTCAGGATTCAGGAGTGATGAGGGAAGGTCAAATTGGGCTAGGCACTGAACTGGCCCCTGAAAGCTCGGGGTGGGCTGGCTCGTATGATGTGCTGCAGTGCGGAACCCGCTTATGTCGCGGATTTGTATCGTGGGCGTGTTCGGCTGTCTGCCCGAAATCAGGACCAGCCGTAAAACCACTACAAATGCACATCTACCTATGCAAATGTGGAGAGGTAATATTAGGTACCAACGAGCAAACCGATCCACAGGCCATTGACACATGTAATTTTTTGAAAGCGTGTAACACTTTCTAAAAAATGTGTATTGTGAAAGTGTAGCGAGGGCCAACGCAGCAAGGTCAGCGTCGAAGCGCTACTCACCCTCTTTTGCCTACAAAAGAGGGACGTGGGGCCATTCGACCTCACCCACGTTCTTCATTTCTAGTTCCAGTTTCGTTTTCCCCACCCACCCACCCTATTGGACGGTGTAGTCTATTGGACGAGAACCATGTACTGTAGCCCATATGAAATGAAGCACGCTGCCTTTGCCAAGGTGACCCAAGCAAGCTTTCACAATCTCAAATTTGACTCCAATCAGTCAATGGTAGTCCTAGGTATGTCAGCGTGAATAACGTTTTTTAACGTAAAATAAACAGAAGCCCAATCCTTAGGAATTTCCATCATTCCACCTTTCCTTGCTTGCCTGCAAACCATGGCACCCACATGGACGTCCGCCGGCAATACGCCTCAAACATCTCTCTCCTCTCCTCCTTGCCCCTCATCCTCTTCTCCACCAGCACTGTCACCGCCACCATGCACAGCGAATTCACCACCGTGCCCACCACCGTCCACCCCATCCCAGCATTCCAGCCCCAGAGCGCCAGCGCCCACCAGAAAAGCTGCTCGCCGAAATAATTTGGGTGCCGGGAGTAGCGCCAGATGCCCGAGTCCAGCAGCAGAACCGACGGCTTACCGGCTGCTCGTAAACGGTCGTTGTTGGTCATGAAGGCGTGGAGCTGAGTGTCGGCTACAGCCGCTGTGACGATGCCTGTGAGAGCGAGGGAGGCGGCTAGGAGGTCGAGAGGGGATAAGGGAGAGGCGGAGGCATGCACTGCGTAGAGAGGCAGAGTGAGGCCGACTAGGAGTACCTGTGAGGGTGATGCAGTGGGGAGTAGGCGCAGTGGGGAACGGGAAGGGGGGAGGGGAACGGAGAGAGAAAGGAAGGATGAGAAGAGAGAAAGATAGTGACACGAGAGGCGACCTTGCTGGCAGATGTGAAAGACGTGGGACCTTCACACACCAAACTCACAGCACGTGGCAAGAAAGGGGCCCAGAACAGAACCCCTCCATCTGACTCAGCAGTTTGCTACTGAAGTCTACCTCTTTTGCACTCAGCATCATTCTCCCCTGTCTTGCTCCCCACTAAATGCCCAGCTACACACGTGCTGGAAGACGTAGACGAGCGGGAAGGAGAGCCACCACCAGTGGCGCCCGTACTGCCTGCGCATGTCGCTGAACCGCCAGTCCTCGCGCCACCCCCACCGCCACTGCTCCCGCCGCAGGTACGAGTGCGTCAGGCGCGCGCTCCACAGAAGCAGAACCACGCGCACGAGGCGGGCGCGCGGAGCGCAGGTGGAGGCGGCGGGATGCGCGGAGTAGAACTCGAGGATGAGCGGCGGGATGAAGGTCCAGTACGGGTCGATCAACTGGGGGGAGAGGGTGGGGGGGAAGGGGGGTAGGAGGGGGGTAGGAGGGGGGTAGGGGAGGAGAGCGAGGGATGGAGAGAAGAGAGGAATGGGACCAGGCTGGTAAGTGTTCACTTGGGATAGGCAGAGGGGAAGCGGAGGAGCGCAAGTGAATACGTGTATTCCCTCAAGGGAGATGCTCGCGAGGGATATGTGTATCTGTGCGCGAGTGGTGGGGAGGAGCGGAGCGGGCTGCACGCGGCACGCGCGGTACTCACCCACGTGGAGCGTTGCAGCAGGCTGATGACCCAGAACAGCACGTCCACGTTCAGCGCGAACAGCGCGCACACGCACCCGATGGGCCGCCGCACGCCCCACGCCACCACCCGCCACCACCACTCGGGATTCCCCCCACCGGTAGCGTCAGCGGCGGCGGCGGCCACGGCGGTTAGGTCGATGTCAGGTGGTGAAGCGGGCGAGGAGAATGCGGAGGGCGGAAGGTGTTTGGCGTCGGCGATGAACTTGCGCGCGATGAGGAGCGACGGCAGGACGACCAGCACGGAGAGGACGAAGTTCGCGACGCTCTTGTGCAGCGGGTAATGCATATCCCCGTGGCCCGCCATGGTCGTGAAACAGAGGGAAATGCGAGTGGATGGAGCTGTCCATCTGGGACTGCTTGTGTGAAGCTGGGAGAAAATCTAGTCTCCAAGAGAGGAGTAATCCGTTCACACTTCTAGTGATCAACGAACTTCGAAGTGCAACTTTTCTTCACTGTACCGAAAAAGTTCACATTTCCGCAGTACTGTACAGAATATCGGAGCCCTCAGCTCAGGGACACTCTGCCCCACAACCAGAGAAAGGGACACGTCGTCCACCGCTTCCGTCACATTCATGTTCTCGAAAACCTCGCGCCACGTCACTTCACACTCTATAGAAAGTCACATTCTGCAGATTCGCAACAGCTACAGAGCAGTTTCCTAAATTCCCGTCCCATGCAGGGCCATAAGGCAAGCAAACTGCACCATCACACCCGATCGGTCCTGTCTCATGCAGTAGTCCCCCCCTGCTGTTGTTGCTGCACTCACTCCCGCGTGTCCAGCAGCCTCATCCTCCGCCGCCCGTCAGTCATGGCTGCTACCTCCCTGGCCTCCTCTTCTCTCGCTCTGCCTCGCGCTGCCTCCCTCGTCGACCGACGCTCGCCCCCTCAGTCGCTCGCGTCGTCGCAGCAACGCTCGAGGGGCGTCGCAGTGAGCGTCGCAGTGCGTCGCATGGGGCAATCGGGAAGCCGTGCGCGCGTCGCTGTCGCCGCGTCCCGCGGCGAAGAAGGTACGATTAGCCTAAAATCGATCGTTCATTTCTGGTCATTCACTTTAGTCGGAGACGGAAACGACATTAGCGGAATCCTGTAATCCTGTTCCATCTCTGTTCCCTCGTGCGAATTCTTCCCGCCTCCTCGGCGCAATGCTCTCTCTGGCGCACTCCCCGCATCCCGTGCCTTTCCGCCCACTCGCTCTCCGTATGTCTCGCCCCCACGTGCCTGCGCAGTGAAGGCGGTGCAGGTTGATAAGGCGCAACTGAGGCAGCGGCTGTCGCAGCAGGAGTACCACGTGACTCAGGAGAAAGGCACGGAGCGAGCATTCACCGGGTGAGCGTGCCTCACACCACTGGCTTGTATATGGCTTGCATGTAGCTTGCATCACGCCTGCGCCTGAATTTCACATTCCTTTTTTGCACTCCACGATCTCAAAGGAACGGCCACAATCTGCCCCTTCGTGCTGCGCCCCCTTGTATAACCTCTGACATGTCCTTAATTTTCGCCTTCCTGCTCCCCTTTTCCCACCACTCCACGTGGCCAACAGCAAGTACTGGGACGAGAAGCGCAAGGGCACGTACCACTGCATTTGTTGCGACACTCCACTCTTCAGGTAACCCCTCCTCGCTCTCTCCCTGCCTCCCTTGTCTTTCAACCCATCCTTCCCCCCCTCCCCTACACTTTTCCGTTGCATGAATCCAGCCTGGGTTTTCCTGCTCTGCTGCTGCTTTGCACCCCCTCCCTGATTCCCTGATTCCCTCATTGCTTGACTCCCTGCATCAGTTCAAGCACCAAGTTTGACAGTGGCACGGGGTGGCCCTCATTCTACGACCAGGTCGGCAGTAATGTGAAGCAGGAGACGGACTGGTCCATCCCCTTCATGCCACGTGTCGAGGTGCTCTGTGCTGCCTGTAACGCCCACCTCGGCCATGTCTTCCCTGATGGGCCCCCCCCCACCCGTCAACGATACTGCATCAATAGGTAACATGATGCAGTATTAAGTTCTTGTTGTTTCTATCCCTCTTTTGTTGTGCATTATTGTGAGTTGTCATGAATTCCTTGTCATGGCACTCAGATAGCCCTGTCGATCCTCCTCTCCCTCTAGGGAAGGTACTAGGGAGGCTTTCCTTGGGGAAGGTGGATATATGGAGCCTAACCCTCCTCTGGATAATCCCTTCTTGTCCCAGTGGTTAGGATTAGTGACTTCATAACTTGATATTAGAGCGATTCAAGGTTCAATTCCTGGTGTACATGCTATCCCTGCGGGGGGTGTGTCGTGGCACTGGGATAGCCCTGTCGATCCTCCTCTCTCTCTAGGGAGGGTACTAGGGAGGCTTTCCTCGGGGAAAGTGGATATATGGTGCCTAACCCTCCTGAGGACAATCCCATCTTGTCCCATAGGTTAAGACTGGTGACTTTATGACTTTCCTCCCCTCACATTCGTTCGTGCACACATCTCATACCAGCTGCTCTTGCCTTTTCCTGCTTCCCTACACCATTACCATCATGTGTTGCTGTGCAGTGCATCACTCCGTCTGGATGCGGATGCAAGAGAGTGAACCCTTGGTTTGTCATGATCAACAGAGTGGATGTATGCCATGTGAAGGTTTATTCATATTTTGTTTTTGTGAGACGTTGGCTTCATTTTGCCCTGTGAATTTATGAGATGGTACTTATTGAATTTATGAGGTTTTTGTCAGAGATCGAACGAATAACTAGAATGAGTATGCAGGAGTATATAGCTAGTGCGTTGTACTCTCTATTGTAAGACCCTTTGAAGTCTACTAAACATACACAAATATGTTTAACACACCACATAGACTAGATAGGAGCAAAGCCCGATGAAAGACAAACAGCTCAGGGCGGCACTACTAGTCCAACCTCTAAGGCAGGAGTCTAAGGACCAGTTAAAAGGGTACAAACAAGGCAAGAACAAGACCGGGGCGGCACTACTAGTCCAGCCACTGGAAGAAAGCCACAAGGCGAGTCATGATAATATGTAAAGAGTTATACACCATCAAGGTCCTAGCAAATGAGATGCTACAGGAACAAGTCCAAGCTGTACACAGTACCGCTGAAAATCTTTAGCTGTGTTGGCACCGGAGGCTAAGTGTACTACGCGGGCCTGGCGACGTTGCTATAGCTCGCGCAGGTGGAAGTACCGCAGCTCGATGTGCTTCGCTCTGCCCTCCAGTCTAGGCTCCTGACCCAGGAGGAACATGACCCTGTTGTCAGCGTACAGAACCAGGGCTGAGCTAGGCCGCTCACCTAAACCCGTAAGCAAGAAAGTCAGCCAACGGAGCTCCTACACCGCCATGGCATCGGCGTAGATCTCAGCCACACAGCTAGACTGGGCAACAGACGACGAGCGGGTGGACCTCTACGAGACAGCACCTGCACTAAGGCTAAAGCAGTAGCCCTGGGAGGACTTAAGAGTCTCGACATCGTCTGCCCAAGAAGCGTCTGTGTGCCCAGTAACGACCACTGGTCTACGTCCTCCTAGCACTAGCCCCATGCCCAATGTATTTGCTAGATAACGCAAAACCCTCTTAGCCGCAGACTAGTGCTGTGGTCGTTTTCTGCCGGAGGCCACAAAGCGGACCAAGATGCTGAGAGGGTACGCGAGATCTGGACGAGTGCAAGTCATCAGGTACTTGAGGCAACCCACCAGCTCTGCGTAAGAACCATTAGGCTCTACAGCCTCCTCCGGAACTGGAGCAGAGAGTATGTGGTCTACTAGCAGAGGGGTGGGCTGTGCGGAAGAGAACTGAAGGCCGAACCTCTGAAGAACCTGGCGCACCAAGTGTGAATGTGTGAGAGTGATGGTGCGCGCTGCTCTATCCCTGGAGATCTGAAGGCCAAGGTAGCGGCGCAGCTCTCCTAGTTCAGTGCAGGTTTGTTTTCTCAGCATCTCGGCCTTCACGAAGGCGAGCGCGTCTCTGTCTGCAGTAGTGAAGACCATGTCGTCTAAGTAGACGAGGATGTAGAACAGAGTCTGACCAGCACGAACGAAGAGAGAGGGGTCTGCAGAAGGCGGAAAAAACTGTAGGTCAGCTAGCATAGCACGCAGCCTGTCATGCCACTCACAGGACGCCTATCGTAGGCCGTAGACCGGGCGACGGAGGAGCCACTCGGTACCAGGGGGAAAGGTCCCAGAGAAGCCCTGGGGGCGGCGTAGGTAGACCTGCTCGTGTAGACTGCCCTGGAGGAAAGCTATGGAGAAGTCGAGTGAGTGCAGCTCGTAGTCACGCTATGTTGCTACATGTAGCAGTACCCGAAGAGTAGTCAACTTTGGGGTAAGAGCGAAGGTCTGCAAGAAGTCAACCCCCTCACGCTGACTGAAGTCACGATCAACGTGACGCGCCTTGAAGACATGCGACTCTCCAGGAGGGTGCTTCAACTTGAAGAGTCATCGGTCATCGACTACGTTCACCCTAGGTGGAGGAATTGCGTCGACGAAGGTACCGGTGGATCTCCAAGATGCCATCTCCTGCTCCGTGGCAGCTATCCATTGGGGGGCCCAAGGTCCCGAGGTGGCCTAACCGTTGGTGCGAGGGGTCGGGATGTATAGGGTGTCTGAGTCATCCTCAGGGACTAGCAGCATGGAACGGAGATGGGGAGCGACCTCTGACAGGAAAGCAAGCTCGTACTGTCTGTCCTCTAGGATGTCACTGCCAAGGGCATCCACACCCCCGACGGACGGAGGACAGACATGGTCAGAGACCAGAGCGGTAGCAAAGTCAAGGCGACGAGTAGAGGCAAAGTCAGCGACAGCAGCTACAAAAGCGTCAAGACTGGAGACGGGAACAGACGGGTTGGTAACTAGGGAGGCAAGGACACGAGGAACAAGGGGACGCGCGACACGGAGGAAGTCAGAAAACGGAGGCGGGGCCACAGCGAGCGACGACGAAAGAGGAGACGGGAGGAGCGGAGGAGCGGAGGAGCACGAGACGCGTGGGAGCGAAACAACATAGAGTGAGAGCGCAGAATAGGGGAGGTAGGACGATCACGAGACGTACGACGGGCCCAGACGTGTGACGAAGGAGTCGGGTCAGAAGAGAGGGGAGGAGACATGGGAGGAGAACGAGGAGGGAAACGAGCCGAAGAAGAGTCTACTGTAGGAAACACAGAGCCGTAGACCGGCAGAGGAGGAGGCGGTGGCAACCAATGAGGCACCAGCGGGCAGTCAGGAGAAGGAAGACCGAGGAGGCGAAGAGCGGACACTGGCGGCGACGGCAACGACTGCTGCACGACACCAATACCAGAACCTCCAGTAGGACCACGGCTCCCTCCGAGAAGCCCCACGCCAGGGGAGGAGAGACCGAGGTAGGGATAGGCGGGGGAAGGGATTCCGCCGAGCCGCGAGAGTCAGCAGACCCCTCGACAGGAACAACCGACAAGAGGGGGGTGACGTGGGATATACTAGACGAGGCAGGGCGAGGAGGGGGGGAAACTGGAATGACCGGGGGAGGCGGGGGAACCAGGAACTGGAGGGGAGTGACCGGGGGACCAAGATGGGGAAAGTGGTGGAAGAAGGAGACAGACTTGTCAAATGTGACGTCGCGAGAGTGAAAGAAACGGTGAGACGGCGGGCGGTAGAAGTGCCGGTCAGAGGAGTTGAAGGGGAAACCGAGAAAGACACACGGGACGGTGCGGGCAGTCAGCTTGTCCGTGTCAAAGGTACGGACGTTAGCAAGACAGCCCCAGACGCATCACCAGGAGACCCGGTACAGAGGAGGGTCGGCGAAACTTGCGGTCACAAGTTAAGCTGGTGGGCAGCGTAGCGAACGGTGAATGGTCACAGAAAATGGGGTGCACCGGCATGGAACATGGAGGTACGAGCCACCTCCATGACCAAACCAATGCGTCGCTCGGCGACCCCATTCTGCTGCGGGGATTCCTGAAGGGTGTACGTCTAGGTGATGCCCTCCGCACGACAAAAGCGGCCAAGGCAGCCAGAGGCGAACTCGCCACCACGGTCGGAGTGAAGATGCAATATAGGGAGACCTCGTTGCACCTGCGCAGAGATAAGCCTCGGGATAAGAACGTCAGGCACGTCGGTCTTCCTCTCTAGGGGAAACACGGTGGTGTAGCGGGTGTAGTCAATGACAAGCTCATGACGTGGCCCATGGACGGGGGTGGGGCCCCGGACGTCCATGTGCAGTGTCTGTAACGGTGCAGTGGTGGGGGGGAATGAGGAGGAGTGAGGGGCGCGGCGGAGCCGGCCCTCGACGTAGGGAGTGCACGGAGGCGCTGCCGAGGAGGGGAGCGTGGGAAACGACGCAGGGAGACCTAATACAAGATGGTGCTGAGACATGTGATGGAGACGGATGAGAGCGGGGTGACCGAGACGGTGGTGTCACAGAAGCGACGGGTAAGTAAGCGACCGGCCCGAGCAAGCCGCAGCAACCTGGGTAGACGCTGCCACCTGGGGGGCGTCCCAACCGGGGGGGACGCGATGTCCTGCATGAACAGGCCAGAGACCGGGTCCCAGGGGAACGTGGTGAGTGGGGCACCAATGGCAGCCTCGGTACAGACAGCGTACCTCTCGTGACCAGGGAATGTAGTGGTGACGCCGAGGTCCTGAAGACAGCCGACACCAACTAGATTCTGGAAGAACGAGGGGATGTGCAGGCCTGTAAGAGAGCCCGAGGGTACTGCCGGACAGGGGAGAGTAGTGGAACTACGGGCGACTACCGGATTTGAGGAAGTGTCTGCAAGGGTAACTGCGGCAGGAACGATGAGCGGCGTAAGTGTAGTGTGGTCCCAAAAGAAGCACCGAGATGCGCCCGGGTCGAGAGTGAAGTAGAGCGCGGAAGTGGCGGCTGATAGCGGTGGAGCTAGTTTGGAGCCAAGGCTAGACAAAGAAGAGGGTTCTACGCCTGATGCAGCAGGGGAGCCTAAACTAGGCACACTGGAGAGGCCTACACTAGGCAACACGGGGTAATAGGAACCGGTCACACTAGAGTCATGGACAGACAGCGCATACAATGCAGAGCTATTCTCATCCATGTCCATATAAAAGATCCTAATAGCACGGCGGAGCAGATTGTGCCAATCGGACAGGTCCGGCGCAGGGCCGAAGCGAAGAGGATACATGTCGTCCAGGCGACTGAAACAGCGAGTGGAGGTATGACCGATCTTACCGTACACGAGGCCGCGGCGAGGACCGGTCTAAAACTGGTACTGGCAGCGTCCGTCACTCACACCACCACGCGACGCCGAGCTACGCGTACGACCACCGCGACCACCTCCACCACCTCCACCAGCGCCAGGCCACCCAGGCGGGAGGCGGCCGACCCTCCGCTGCGACGGCTGCTGCTGCTGCTGCTGGTCAACCTGTAGCGCCTGCTGCTACTCCCACCAGTGCTGCTGCTCCGAGGCACCAGCCCCAACCCCCTCGTCTGTACTACCGCCAGCGGACGAACCACTTCCACCACCACCTCCACCCCCTCCTCCACTACCCCCGCCGCACCCAGCCTTGGGGCAGCGAGCCTTACCATAACTGGACTGCATTGCTGCCACCGCGTCAGCGGTCTCAGCAGCAGGGACTGCCTCAGCGACAGCCGCAAAACCATCAGAGTAAGAGCACTAGGCGGGAGCACAATCCTGAAAGATAGGGACCGACGCAGTACCGCTAGACTGAGCAATAGAGCGTTGATGAGACTCTATGGTAAATAGGGTGTCAAAAAAGTCAGAGGGTGAGGTCAGCGTGGTGTAGACTAAGAAAGTGGTCGCGGGCAGTGGCAAGGCGGTCAGGGAGGCGAGTGGCAAGCAGGTAAAGGGTAGACCAGATGGGGGCCTGGAACACTCGAAGCTGGGCCGCCTGCTAGCGTCGAGCGTGCACAGGTGCGTGGCCAAGTCAGCGACAGTGGGGAAAGAAGCGAGATCAGGGAAGAGCATAGGAAGGATCAGGCGGCCGGCAGAGGCAAAGGACGGGGTGGAATAACGCTCGACAATAGCCTATATGAACTCATGTGCAGTGCTGACCGACTTAAAGCGGGGGCGCTTCGATAGGGGGAGGACATGGCTAATCGCGAGCTGAGCGACAGCGTCATGCGACAGCCAGACAGCACGGGCAAGGGCAGCTGTGGCGGCGGAGTTATGGTCAGCTGACGTGAGGTCAGCGGGGAGAGCAACAGAGGGGTCATGGTAGGGGAGCGTACCGTCAATGTGGACGGCCAGGGAGTGGCCGTCCTGTTGCTGACCACTGAGGTAACGGCGGAGATCGACGAGCGATGTGTTGAACTCAATCCGCTGACCCTCCGCGTCAAAGCGCAGTACCGAGTCTGCCATGAGGGCCGCTGCAGCCGCGAACTTATAGCCACGAAGCGACGAGGAACAGTGGGAAGGAGTGCTGTACGGTAGAGGGCGGTGGGGCGCGATGCAGTGAGGTGGGTCGCAGTGCAATGCGGTGGGGCGCGATACAGTGTGGTGCAGTGCGGTAGAGATGGCAATTGAAGCGGGGGGGATCGGGAACCACGGCGGCTGAGCAGCTGGGAGACGGGGCCGAGGGGCGGCCGGGCGACGGGACCGCGGAGTAGCTGGGCAACGGGTCGCGGCGCAGAGGGGCGACGAGTCGCGAGGCGGCTGGGCGACGAGGCCCGCGGAGCAGCTGGGAGACGGGGCCGCGGGGCAGCTGGGACGACGGGGCCGCGGGGCGGCTGGGTGAAGGGGCCGCGGGGCAGCTGGGACGGCGGGGCTGCGGGGCAGCTGGGACGATGGGGCCGCAGGGGCGGCTGAGCGACTGGATCGCGGGGCAGCTGGGCTACGGGGCAGCTAGGCGACGGGGCGGCTAGGCTGCGGGGTGGCTGGGCGCTAGGCGACGGGGCCGCGGGTGGCTAGGCGCTAGGCGACGGGGGCTGACGGGGCCACGGGGGGCTAGGAGCCATGGGAGCGGGGCCGCGGGGGCTAGGCGCTAGGCGACGGGGCCGCCGGGCCACGGGCGGTTAGGTGCTAGGGAACGGGGCCGCGAGGCCAGCAAGGCAACGGGGTGGAGGCACTGGTGGGGCGGCTAGGAGCTAGGCGACGGGGATGGCTAGGACCTCAGGCGGAAGCGTGGGTGGACGGGTGGAACCTAACATTTTCATGATATCTCAAAGTGACAACAAACTAGAATGAGAGAGTACAGGAGTATATGCCAATGGGTTGAACTGCCTATTGCAAGTCCCTGTATTATCTACTAGACATACACAATTATGTTTATTTATCTCAATATTTTCCATTCTCTTAAGATAAGCTGAGATTTGAGCAGCAAGTTTAGGTAGAGTTGATTTCAGCAACACCTGGCACGGTAAGTTTTCCCATGCACGGTATCTAAGCAAGACTAAGCAGGCACTTGCGATTATTTAGTAGTTTGTGTAGTGTACACCATGTACCGAAGAAATGCAAGAGAAAATAACACAAGCGAAACTACCTCTATTTTCATTTTCGACAGAGCACTGATTTATGCGGCGATCTTGAGGAAAGTGTAGGCATAGGCCGGGTTCGAGTCGAAAACCTTCCCTTGCTCGCTCCCTGACCTGACGCACGCGTTGCTCTGCCAGATGTCGCACCAGCCTGCAGAACACACGCCGCAGAACATGAAGGTACACGTGAGAATCCGAACCCTCTGAGCGCGGAGTGAAGCGCGTACAGGAAGCGAAGGCGACGTTAGGGATCCAGTGGGAAGAGCAGAAAGAAGTGGGAGACAAAAAAGGGGGCATCCTAAGCGTACCGTAAATCTGGTCGCTGCTCTCAGCGGACCACGTCCAGAAGCCCGAGCCGTCGACCGCCTCGCAGCAGTCCTTCGGAGTCATGCCCGCGTAGCCAGCAGTGCGCGTGAGATCGCCGCGAAGGCTCGACTCGATGATCTGACCGAACTGCACGGCAGGCTGCTCCGCGAGATCCGGAGCAGTGGTGGCATCGGGACATGTGGTGATGGGCTCGAAGGTTGGGCATGGATATGTACCCGGGGGGAGACGATCAGCGGCCAAGGCCAGGGGCAAGGCGACGAGGAGGATAGCGAGTAGCGAGGCTAGACGGGCCATGGTTGTGCTGTGGGTGAGTGAGGGATTCAGATAGACGTGAATGCCTATGTTGATTATGGAAGTGCTCTAGGGTTGAGTAGCGAATGCTGGTACAAAAGATGCTCCTGGGAAAGGTTTTGTTGAGCAGGAGAAGACAGTGAGGGAGGTGGCTGTTTGTGTTGACTACAGCACTGTGCTGTTGTTGGTGATGCTGAAACCTGGACGTCGTTCGTCGTTTCCTCTCGCGCGCTCAGGCGAGGGAGCAGTGTTCGTTTCGGACCTGGAAAGCGGAAGCACGCCAAGGAGAAGTGAGGGGATGGGGTGGGGTCGACCGCATGCGGGGTGAGAAGCTGGTTCGGCTGATACAGGCGGAAAACTGTTCATGGGTGGTTTTCGTGCGGACTTGAATAGCGACAAAACTTGGGTGATTTTCCAGATGCGTTCAACAGAAAACGTTGACACAGCAACATTTGCCGAGTGCCTGGGAAGAAACATGGGGGGCGACTGAGGACGAGGGTTTCTTTCGTCTCTGCTCCGCCACACCTGCGCTGCGTACCCAGTGACCGTCCTTATTGTACCGGATGCAAGGCCTTCAACATACGAAACTTACAATTATTAGTAAACTTCACAATAAAACATAAGTCAGTTCGGTAGTATCAGTCAACAATCAAAACGACGATAGGTGTAAAACAAGCATGAAAACTTTTTAAGGACCAACAGATCATTCCAGCAACATGTGCTCATGCAACATGCTAACTTCAAAAAGATTTTGTAAGTGGTCACACAACTCAACCTAATCTTAGTAAGCGTGCCTGCAAATGCGGATAGATGGGAAGTGGTGGGTGTGGAAAAGGCACACAAACGAACGATAAAAGGGGTGTTAGTTATCATGCATGCACTTAAATTACACGAATGAAGCAAGGGACGATCCAAACATGCTTACAAACCCTCCTCTCCTACTACCTCAGTTGCTTGCCACCAAGCTCGAGTAGTCCACGGTCTCCTTGGCAACGGATGTGTGGTCAGGGAGAGATAGCAGCAGATCCTGATTCTCTGAACTGCTGATGCTGCCAACTGGTCGCTTCTTCTTTGTGACCTTTTTCACCTTCACACCATCAGTGCCCTCTCCATCACACACACACCCGTCGACCGCACCACCACCACCACTCTTCATGCCAGGAGCCGTGCTCCCTTTCTTCACCTTGCTCCTGCATTTTGCTCCCCCTGTCACTTCGGCAGCCCTATCCTCACCAGCATCGGCACCACCTACACTGGTCTTCTTCACAACCTTCTTCTTCCGCTTCTCGATATCTTTCTCATTGGAATCAACCCCCAGGCGCTCTAGCACCACGATGCCGTCCCCACTCACACCGTCCATCCCTTCCTCCTCACCACTTAGCCCTGCTCGCACGCCCCGTGGCTTCTGCTTGCCTTTCCCAGTCCCCTTGGCCTTTGCCTTGCTGGCACCATTCTCCTTGTCACTGTTCTCATCAGCGTCACCTGCCTTCACCCCACCGCCACTGCCGCCACCACAGCGCTTCTTCCCCTTCACTGCCTCTCCACTTGCAGCCGCCTCCCCTCCTCCACTCACACCTGCACCGCTGCTCTTCTTCACATGACCATTGCCTGTCGCTGCCGCCTTTTTCTTGATCGTGCCGCTGCCATCACAACCGCCAAGGCCCTCCTTCCTCACCTTCTTCCCACTCTCACCCTCTTGCACCCCTCCATCCATCACTTCCCACCGTGCTCTCCCTTCTGCAGGTTCCTTCCTCCCTCCTGTTCCCCTCATCCCTTCCCCTCCCCCCCCAGACCGCTGCCTGCGCCCCCCACTCGCACCAGCACCAGCAGCACCAGCATTACCCCCCGTGGCCTCCCCAAAGCCTCCGGATCGGAGCTCCCAAGCAGCGCTCTTGGTGCCCTCACTGCCCCCCGAGTACCCATCCACCAGCCGCTGCTGCAGCCACCGCTCCACCCCCACCATCTGCTCCTGCCTCCTCACATCGCCCTCCCCCTTTTCCCCCTTTCCGCACCCTGACAAGCTCTCCCTGCGCTGCCGAGCCCATGCCCGCACTGCCGCTGCCACGTCGTCTGCCACGTCCTCTCCGCCTCCCCTTCCCCCTGCTCCCCCATCTCCCCTGCCCACAGTGCCTTTCCCCGGAGACCTCCCCAGCCCAGCAGCGGCTACTGCTGCCGCTGCCGCTCCCGCAGGGGTCGTCTGGGGTTCTGGATGCACTCTGTCCGCCCGCCCCTTGCTCGTGCTCTTGCTCTTGCTCCTCCCCACGCCGCTGCTCTTCACCTTGCCTGCCTCTGCTTTGATCAACCGTCTGATCTCCATAGGCGTCGCGTCTCCTGGTGTGGCGGACCACGTGGCACGCCCCTGACGGTCGGGTCTACGACTCGACTGCTCTGGATCGTCCGATGTGTAACCCATGCCTTTGTGGGCGGCAGCCTCAGCTTCCTCTTTCCTCTTCATGCCATACCCGGCGAATCTCTCGTCTGCTCCCTCCCCTGATTCCCCCCTGACTCTTCCGCCTGCCCTGTCCACGCTCATTCCGCCAAGCACTATGAAACTTCCCCCCCCCTGCCCTCCCCCGATGCTTGCCCACCGTTGCCGCCGAGACTGCCCCCCTCCGCCTGCGCCCTCACTCACGACGGGGCTGGCGGGGACGGAGGAAGCGCCATACGGGTCCCAGGGCGCGGGGACAAAGGCCCCGGAGTGAGGGAAGGCGGAGACGGAGGCGGAAGTCGCGCCTTGCGCCGTATGGGAAAGTCTATACTGCGGGGTGGAGTGGGCGGTAGAGGCACTGGCGGGAACAAGACTCGCGGAAATGACTGCAAAAGAACCAGTAGTAGCAGTCGCAGTGGGCGGGTGGAACAGTGCCCGCGGCGTGACGTCAGCGGCGAGCGGGGAAGGCGCGGGGTTGGAAGGCGCGGGGTCGGAAGCAGCGGAGGGCGTCACGATGGTGTGGAGTGTTCTGGTGGGGGTGACCAGGTTGGGAGTGCCGCTCGCACTGGCAGCGCCACCACAACCAGCGCCATCACTAGTGCCAGTAGTGCCACTAGTGCGGCAAATAGTGACGCTGATTGCTGTCGACGTGGCAAGTGTACCGCTCGTCTTCGCAGTCGCTCGGTTTTCTGCTCCGTGATTCCCGTCGCTTGCCGCATTACTCGCAGTCGCAGCGACGGCGGCGGCGGCGGCGGCGGCGGAAGAGGAAGAGGAGGAGAACGAAGCGCCGCCCATGAAGGCGCGCTTGAGCAGGCTCACGGACGCGCTGAGCGTGCGCAGAAGCCGCACGCCCTTCTTCCCCGCCGACCGGGGCGTCGTTGCCGCCACTCCGCTCTGCGGCCCCTGCTCCGCTGCCAGACCGCCTCCTCCCGCTACATTCCGCTTCCGCGCAATCGCCTCGTCCATAGCCTTCCGCTCCTCAACGATTCCGGATCCGTTCAAAGCAGCAGCAGCAGCTGCTGCTGCTGCTGCTGATGTTGCCAGCGGATCCAAAAGTAGCTCAGGCTGATCCTTGTGGGAGCTCACCCCTCGCCTCTTCTCATCTTTCCTCGTCGAGTGCGCAAACCCAGCCGAATCCTCTCCGTGAAAGCTCATCTGCAGCTGCTCCTTGCCCCTTTCTCCCGCCATCTGCGCCCTGTCCTTCTCCTCGCTCTCTACCCCACCAGCTTCCGCCCCATCGTGCTGCATCGCCGCTTGCGTCGCTTCCGGCGGCACAGTTCGCCTCGCTCGCGCGTGCCTCGGCGGCGTCCGATTAACCCCCGTCTCGTCGTCGATTATCTCCACCACTGCAGGCGGCGCTGCTTCCGCCACTAACGCGGTGCTCTCTACCGGGGATTCCGCTGGCAGCCCCACGCCGATGGCGGCTTCCGACTCAGCAGCCATACCAGCGCAGCGGAACGCCGCAAGCTCTTCTTCCGAAAACAGCGAGACCTCGTCGAGTTTCAGTGTCTGCCGGATCTCTACCGGCCGCTGCCGCTCGTTCGGCGGCCGCCGCTGCTTCTGCTGCCGTCCGTTCCCCTGCCGGCCGTCAGATTTACCAGTGGAGGCCGGAGTGCTGCTGCTGCCGGCCGGCGCAGTAGACGTGGAATGCCCGCGACTAGTAGTGGTGGTGCTCGCACGACCTACCGCACAGCTGGCAGCTCTGTTAAGGGAAATATTCATGCTCGAGACGGTAGAGGAGCTGCTCGTGGTACGAGGAATGGTGCCGCCGTGGCCATCAATTGTGCGAGCAGCGAGAGGGCCCGAGGAGGAGGATAGTCCCAGGGAGTTACGGCGCGAGTCGGCGCACGAGCGAGAGGCGTGCTGCGCGAAAGAGCCGGCGACGTTATCGGAGGAGAGGGAGCGAGTGAGCTTCGGCCCTGTGTCCATTCGCGACACGCCGGTGCCCATCATGCTCGACCGCGCCGCTCGTAGCTCCCTCGCGCGCTCGATCTGCTCTCTCCTACGGAGAGCATACTCGGTTGGATCGAACGTGCGGGCGGCGGGTGACGCGGAGGAGTCGATTTGAGATGCCCGCATGGCGGAGGAATCTGGTTAGCCTGTGTTACGTCGATTGAGATGACCTGCGAGTGCTTAGAGGAGAAAAATGGTATCGCTTCACGTGGGTCGATTTTTGGCGAACAGCCCTACATAATCCTTGCTTGCTGAGACGAAGGATGGAAGAGGTGAGGGAAGCAACCCGGTCTACAATTTGCTTGCCGCATTACTGTCTCGTCGCGCGGTTCTCGTGAACTGCAAGATAGGTAGCAAAGGTCCACGAGTGGGTGTGCCTTCCAAAAGATTTGACCAAGTGTGCTGCTGAACCACCAACCACCTCACAAAACAGGCCAGTTTCTCTTGACATGTGAAATGTCCTCCAGCACCCCCAGTTTGATTCTGATCGACCCTCAAATGCGGCGCGAGCCGGAGCGCATAGGCGACCGGGGGCCTTTTTTGGTGCACCGACGACGAAAGCACTGAAGCACCCGCCCTGCGCGACATTCGTGGATGCGTGCGAATCGAGTACAGTATTCCGTTGGCGAAAAACCGCTCCAGCACAGATCCGTTTGGAGCTCGCGCTCTTCGCGCGCAAATTTTATCTGTGCATCGTATAAGCTAGGTGCGATGGCGCGATGGTGCTAGTGTTCCACAATACATACATGCAGTTTCATAATGATAGTTTAGGTTTGGAAACGTGCTAGATTGAAAATAGTAGCCAGTAAAGCGATACATGATAAAAGCTTGCTTCTGTTTGAGATGGTGGAAGAAATCACTGCCCATAGCCTAAAAAAGCTGGCACTGCACATGAGGAAAGGTTCTCATTATTCTAGATGCTACCTTGCTAGATTGAGTATACTCTGCGAAAACGAGTTACTCTGTTGACAAGCGGAACCAATTCTCCACCTAGAGAAACCTGTGACCAGGAGCCTTGAAATCCCACCCCCATAATCGCAACCAACTCCTCGAGTCCTAACTTAGTTCTGCCTCCCGACGCCGGCTAACCTGTTCTTGAGCAGCGAACGAAGCGTTTCGCCTGGAATCGCAATCCGCCAGTGCTTGGAAATCAAAGAGGCGGCTACACGTCCCGTTGGCTCTGATTTGATCAGCAATGTCTATATTCTCGAAAATCAAGGCCGTCGATTTCTACCGGTGGGTTGCATCCATAAAAGCCGTTCATTTTCTCGTATCAAGCCCAATCGGTATCTGACCACCTCCCATTATCCCTTTTCCTGCTGCCACGCGTCTTACCTCGCTAGAATCAATCGCATACGTTAACCCCCATGTCTCCGTCGTTGTCCACGGTTTCACATGTCGTCCCGCACTTTCTTCCTCCCGAAACCCTGATCTCAAGCCGTCCTTCTCCCTGCCGTCAACCCCCATTGTCTATCACCGAATCACCCCCGTCCCGATCCTTCCCGGAAACGACAGGAGAATACCTCGCGACTTGACGGAGGCGTCGCTATCCGGCGCTACCTTATCGCTTGTCGCCGCCATATGGATCGTCGTGCTAGTCTGGCTCGTAAGCCTGCCGCTCCACTCCTCCTCATACCCCTCCCCGCTCTGCTTCCCTCTGCGTCGCTCTGCGTTCACCTTATTCCGGCGTTCACCTTTATTTCCATGGCTGATCTCTCCTCCCTCCCCATCCTCCTCCCCTTTCCTCCCCACCCAACCCCCTGTTACCTCACACCACCCGCCGTCCTTGCCTTCCCTCCTTGCCTCTCTCACTTCCTCTCTCGCTTTCCTTCCCCTCTCTCTCTCTCTTCCTGCGTGCCCTCGCGCACCCACCCCACCCGTTTGCTGTCCGGTGGGGGCGTCAGGAGCTGCGGGCGTTCCTGACAGTGACGACGAGCACCACAGTGATCGTGGATCAGAGCCCCAACACGGACCTTCTGCGGATCAACTTCAACTTCAGGCAAGCAGCAAGCAACAAGCAGCAAGCAGCAAGCAACAAGCAACAAGCAGCAAGTAGCAAGCAACAAGCAGCAAGCAGCAAGCAGCAAGCAACAAGCAGAAAGCAACAAGCAACAAGCAGCAAGCAGCAAGCAACAAGCAGCAAGTAGCAAGCAACAAACAGCAAGCAACAAGCAGCAAGCAGCAAGCAGCAAGCAGCAAGCAGCAAGTAGCAAGCAACAAGCAGCAAGCAGCAAGCAACAAGCAACAAGCAACAAGTAGCAAGCAACAAGCGGCAAGCAGCAAGCAGCAAGCAACAAGCAGAAAGCAACAAGCAACAAGCAGCAAGCAGCAAGCAGCAAGCAGCAAGCAACAAGCAGCGAGCAGCGAGCTGCAAGCTGCAAGCAGCAGCAAGCAGCAAGCAAAGCACCATGCTGCATGCGGCCCATCCCATGCCCAGAGCTTGGATCTGAGTTGAGTGTGTGATGATTCATGCACGTTGAGTTGAGTGAGCCACGTTCAATTGAGGTGTCCCGGCTGCACCCGCCGCTCCTCCTCGTGCTTGTGGTGGAAGCAGGGAGCCGCGTCCTCTCCTCTTGCTTTCCTGTATGCTGCAAAGCAGCAAGTGGAACTCCCAATGCCACCACTGCCGTGCATGCTTCGTGCTGTAGGCTATCAGCATACACACACGTGTTGAGTGCACATGTGCTTATGGGAATCCATGTATGTATGTACGCACGCAGTTATGCTGTCTACTTCCTGACCTGTGTTCCATTCGCCCTGCCATCCCTCCCTTTTCTCTCTCCACCTGTCCCACGAATGGCCCCTGCCCTGCCCTGCCCTGCCTGCCTGTCCATCTGCAGCTTCCCAGCGCTCTCCTGCGAGTTCGCATCAGTTGATATCACTGATGTCATTGGCACGGTATGCCCCTCTCAGCTCACCTGCTGCTGCTGCTGCTGCTGCTGCTGCTGCGTCTTGCAATTCAAACAGCGCACCGGCGGAGGCATTGGCCCTGTTGTCTGCCTGGTGCTCCAGACATGAGGAAGTAAACCGCTGCCATCCCCTCAACCGCACTTTGTCCAATTTCAAAACCGACCATCTTTTCTCATACCCTACTTCCATGGCTTTACTAGGAAACCCCGTGTGAGAACCCTGCCCCCCACATCATCGCACGGGGCACAGGGCGGGTATAGGGTTCCTCGGATCCTGAAGTTCACCAGATCAAGAATGCGTCCTTCCACTCGTCAAGCCTCCCCCTTCCTCTCGTTCTTTTGCATCCTTCTACCCACCCTCTCATCACCCCCCCTCCCCCCTCCCCCCTCCCCCCTCCTTCCCCTCCCCCCTCCTTCCCCTCCCCCCCCTCTCTCTCTCTCTCTCCCCCAGGCACGGTACAACCTGTCTCGCACGCTGCGCAAGCACCCCATAGACGCGGCGCTGCGCATCGTGGGGCCGCAGCACCACCCGGACCCGATACCGGAGCTGCAGCGGGGGGGAAACGAGGGCGGCGAGGAGGAGGAGGCGCAGCGCCAGTTGGCGGAGGAGGGCATCGCGAGCGGGGGGGAGGCTGGGGAAAAGCAGTACGTGGGGTCGCTCGTGCTGGACTCCAGGACGTTTGACGCTGCCACTAAACAGTGAGTGCCTCCAGTCTTGCTCCTTGCCGTGCTGTTTGCCGTGCTCCTTGCTGTGCGGTGTGGCTCGCCTTGCTGCCTGCCGCTGCTAAGCACGGAGGGAGCTGCTGCCGGCTTCCATCATTGCCTGGGATGTGCTTTCCCATCACCTCCCTCCCCTACCCTGCTCATCCCGTTCCTGCTCATCCCTGCTCCCCGTTCCTAGTCGTTGCGTGCGGTGCATGCAAGCACCACGCACGCACCTAGCACTGACTGTTTTTGAGGCGCTTCAAAAATATGAGGCGCCTCAAAGCAAGCTCCACGCACGCACCTAGCACCGACTGTTTCCCTGCCCCCACGCTTCTCTGTCTGCTTGGTTGTGCCACCGCAGGTACCCCATTCTCATTGTCAACTTCTTTGCCCCGTGGTGCCACTGGTGCCAACTGCTGGTAGGCACCCCCCTACGAACTCACTCACCCTCCCACTCACCCTCCCGCTCACCCTCCCACTCACCCTCCCACTCACCCTCCCACTCACCCTCCCGCTCACCCTCCCGCTCACCCTCCCACTCACCCTCCCACTCACCCTCCCACTCACTCACCCTCCCCCTCACCCTTCCACTCACTCACCCACCCTGCCACCCACCCCTGCTGTGTATGTAAGCCTTTCTCACCCACGCTTGTCTTCGCTTAAGAGTGCGCTGCTGTTGTTGGGCACTGGGTGGGTGGGCGCTTCTGAATCGTCGCCCTTGCGGCACAGGAAGACTGCTCCCATTGAGGCAGGGAGGGAGGTGGAATCTCACGCTCATGCTTGCTCTGCTACGGCCTCTGCCCTCTGCCATTTCTGCCTTCTGCCCGTATCTGCCTTCGGCCATGGCAGGAACCGGCATGGGAACAAGCAGCAACAGTCATGAGTCAAAAGTAAGCAGCACTCTGGCTGCCCCTGCTCGTGCCTTCCGTCTCTTCCTTCCTATCCTGCATTTTACCCTCTAACTACTACGTTTCTCCACCCCACCCCACACACCTTCCCTGCTGCCCTGCTCTCCTGCGTTTGTTTGCAGCCTCCCAGCCCTTCCCCACTCATTCTCCCTCACTCCCCCGTTTCTGGGATCCGTCCCTGCTTCCACCTGGTGCCCCGTCCCCTCCTCCACCGCCCACCCTTCATTTTGGTGATATTCTCGATTCCAATCTCCCCCCCCTCCCTCCCCTTCTTGTTTCCCCCCTCCCCCCTTTCCCCCTTCCCCGCACGCCCATCCTGCAGGTATCACCCGGACCATGATGGTCGCATCCGATTGGCCAAGGTGGACTGCACCATGGACGCCAACCTCTGCTTCAGGTGCGTGAGTGCGTAGTGCGTTGTGCGTTGTGCGTTGTGCATTGTGCATTGTGTGTTGTGCATTGTGTGTTGTGCATTGTGTGTTGTGCGTTGTGTGTTGTGCATTGTGTGTTGTGCATTGTGTGTTGTGCGTTGTGTGTTGTGCGTTGTGTGTTGTGCGTTGTGTGTTGTGCGTTGTGTGTTGTGCGTTGTGTGTTGTGAGACATATTAATTAAGACACAACTTGTTATGCCATGCACACATGAAGCACATGGTCATTTGCTATTTAAGAAATCCTGATGTGTATTCTGCCGATATGCGTGCACGGTGGTACGATTTTTGGCAGTCACAAAGTTTCGAACCATTTAATGCACCCTGCCTTCTGTGTGTCCCCCCACCCCTCCGTTCATCCATCCATCCATCCATCCATCCATCCATCCATCCATCCATCCATCCATCCATCCATCCATCCATCCATCCATCCATCCATCCATCCATCCATCCATCCATCCAAATATGCATGCATCAAAATGCATCTGTGCATGCCATCCATGCATGCATGCAGCCACCATGTGCAGGGTTACCCGTCCATCCGAGTGTTCCGCAAGGGCGACGATTCGATCATGTGAGTCACATCGCACATGCTGGGGCAAACGTCATGTCATGGCATGGCAGTGGCATGCGTTGCGTGGTGTTGCGTGGCATGGTATGGCAGCGCGTGGCAGTACAGTGATGGGGATCAAATGGATGAATGGAATGAGATGGTATGGGGTTCGGGACGGGATGGGACGGGATGGGACGGGATGGGACGGATTATAATTGACTAGGAAGATTAAGGTGCAAAAATCTGACAGCCTAGCGACGAGTTGCTTGCTGATTATAAGCTGATGTCTCAAAGCACGCCCTTTTGCTTGTTGGCTTGTCAACCATTGGTGGTGCAGGAGGGAGCATGGGCAGCATGACCATGAGTCGTACTACGGTGAACGCGACACCCTCTCCCTCATCGCTGTCGGTGCACGCAGCCCACACCCTCCTTACACCCTCCTTACACCCTCCTCACATCCATCTCACACCCACCTCACATCCATCTCACACCCACCTCACATCCATCTCACACCCACCTCACATCCATCTCACACCCACCTCACATCCATCTCACACCCACCTCACATCCACCTCACATCCACCTCACATCCACCTCACATCCACCTCACATCCACCTCACACCCACCTCACATCCACCTCACACCCACCTCACATCCATCTCACACCCACCTCACATCCACCTCACATTCACCTCACACCCACCTCCCACGGTCCCACCTCACACTCACCTCCCACCCTCCTCCCACTCACCTCCCACCCACCTCACACTCTCCTCACACACCAGCTCCAACACAAGCACACGCACACCTGCACTCCCTCCCCCCCCCATCTCCACTCTTACACAGCCAATCAAGCAGCGCACAGCCTCTCCATGCCCTCTGCAATCCCTCCTCTCATCGATGCCAATGTGCCCCAGCATCCCCAGCATCCCCACCATCCCCTCCCCACCATCCCGCCCTCTCTCCTATTCTCCACTCCGTCTATGTCTCCCCTCCCACTCCCCTCCCCATCGCTCTCCCTCAGTTTTCCGAGTCCCTAGTTGCAGCAGCGCAAGCGGCGGCAGCAGCAGCAGGAGGGGGGGCGGCCTTGCCTGGTGCCGACCCTGCAGCAGCAGCAGCATCTGACCCGAACCGGCGCCGGGCGCCACAGGCTGCAGGGTGCCAGATAGAGGGCTTTGTGCTGGTCAAAAAGGTCAGCTTCTGGTGCTTCAGGTGCTTCTGGTGCCTGCATCACTTGTGCTTGAGATGTCAGTGGTGGTGCACAGATAGAGGGCTTTGTGCTCGTAAAAAAGGTCAGCCTCAGGTCACGTGGGTTTGCATTTCCGTCATGGGTTGGCCAAATCTTTGTTCATTTATAACATCTACGACGTGGTGCTGTGCAAGTATAAGTAAGGCCCGCCTGGACTGACACAAGTTCAATGTGCCCGGAACGAATCACGCCCCTCCCTCTCTCTGCTTTCCCTGGTCCGCGCACACCCCCTTCCCGCTCCATATTCGTCACTTCTCGGCCATGTGAATGGTCCTGTATGGCATGTGCCTCGTGCACACACATATGCACACATGCACACCCACACACACACCCACACCCACACCCACACACACCCACACCCGCACCCACACCCACACACACCCACACTCACACCCACACCCACACCCACACCCACACGCACATGAACATAACACACTCGCGCACCCCAGGTGCCAGGCAACCTGATGGTGCACGCCAACTCGCCGTCGCACTCCTTTGATGCCGCCGCCATGAACCTCTCGCACGTGGTGCACCACCTGTCGTTCGGGCGGCAGCTGCCCGCGCGCAAGCGGCAGCACGTGGAGCGCCTCATGCCGCTGCTGCACCTGAAAGACGGCCGCCTCAACAATCACACCTTCACCTCGCAACACGAGCGAGTCACCGTCAGTGCCCTCTGTGGATTCGCCTTCTACCCTCCTCGTCACCATCTCTCTTGTCTTCCCCTATTCCTCCTCGCTTCCCCCCCCCATCCCCCCCAATCCCCCCCCCCTCACCCCGCTTCCATCTGTTTTTTCTCTCAAGTTGTTTGTTCTCCTGTTGCATCCACGGGCTTCTATTTTGCACCGCCTCTTGAAACAGCTGCTCAGCCATGCTCTCAAATACGAGGAAAACAGCACACACCTGGGCAGCCACGCCCTGAGATGAGAACCACCAGGATCACATCCCTCCTTCTGCATCTTGTATCAGCACCATGAACCAACTTGTGCCCCGCTCCCCTCCCCTTCCCCACTCCCACCCCCCGTACCCCTGGCATCATCAGCACGAGCACTTTCTGCAGCTGGTGTTGACGGAGGTGCGGCGGCCGTCGTTCCTGTCGTCAGCCACGCTGCCGGCCACCACGAGCAGCACGAGCCGCGAGTGGAACCGGCACGCGCTGCACGCCTTTGACTTCACCGTGCACAGCCACACGCTGCAGCGCCCTGATGAGCTGCCTGCTGCTCGCTTCCACTATCTGCTCTCGCCCATGCAGGTGGGTGTGCGTGTGGGGGGAGAAGGGGGGAGGTGGGGGAGGTGGGGGAGGTGTGGAAGGGAAGGGGTGTCCATGTGTGCACATGTGTATGTGCAGTCATTGAGGGTCGGCTCTGTCTCGGCTGTCTGCTTGCATGCTTGCAATCATTGCGACTTATGCCCTTTCGTCTTACTAGTCTTAACTTTCCTGAACCCCACCGTTTTACTGGGTTACCTCTGACCCCTTTCGTCCTCATCGATCACCATCAACGTTCTCGCCATGCCGTTTGCTCATGTGAGCTTGATTACCGTATGTTGTCTAATTGACTGGTTGGCTTGCCCTGCCCGTCTCCGCCAGAGGCATCTTTGCTGGCATGCAAACGACACGCCTCTATTTGAATGAGGAAGGCTCTGTGCATGATGTTGTTGAGTGCATTCCAGCCAGTCCTCTTCCTCCATTTCCTCAGGTGGTTCTTACTGAGACCAGGGCTTCCCTTGCTGGATTCCTCACCAATCTCTGTGCCATTATTGGAGGAGTTTTCACGGTCAGTTCACAGGTTGCATCCCAACCCCCCCCCCCCCCCCTCCCCCCCCCCTCTTTCCCCTAAGTGGTTCCTCTATTGCTTTATAGGTGCTACACACCACAAACACACAAAGACACGCACAGGCACACACATTCGTGCACATGCTCGCTCGATTGCTCAGGCTGCGCACACACCATGTGTGCATGCACCAGGACCTGCATCTGACCTGACCAGGTGTATGTGCTCGTGTTCTTTGATGCAACAGTTTGCTGCCATCAGTAGTTGCTACCATGTCTCCACACATCCACATGTGGCTTCTCAACTCAATGCCATCAAATCCACTCTGCTCTCTTTTTCCAATGTGGCCCCCCCTGGCCCGTAGGTTGCTGGCATTGTGGACGGGATGCTACATGGTGCTGTACGTGTAGCCAAGAAGATTCAACTTGGAAAGAACTCTTAGAGCACAAAGCTTTTGCGGTGATTTTAGTTGGGCTTGCGCCTATTGCAATGCTGTTTCACACGGTACAGTCTGTTACCGTACCAGCTGAACTAAAGCTTCAGTGTTTGGTTATCATCAGATGTAAGCTGCTTTGTGCCCGAGATGCAAGCTACGAACATACCATCCAATGTTATCTCATTGAGTACACCCTTAGCGGTGCAGACCTTGGGCACAGATGCGTGCACCTTGCCCATGCACAAACACATGTTGCAGTAAATCATCTACTTCACTGCACCATACCATTCTCCTCTTTTACCATATGCCTCTTGAATTCACCTGTATGGCACCTGTATGGCACCTGTTTACCATTCACCTGTATGGCACCTTGAATGCACTACCGTATTAGACGTGGTACAGAACGCTTTGTAAAGCATACAGAACTCGCTCGGAGTGAACAATATCGTGTTCAGGAAAAGTTATTGTTACAGTACAGGGTGTGTGATGTACACACTTCGTCGTGCTTGGTCCACCTACTGTACTGTTCTGTACTGTACAAAAGAGTGTACTCCACTGCGTCACTGCGTGTCCGAAGCGTACATTTTCGCTCAATACCATACCTAACCGTAGTATTAAGCTATTTTATCTCTCTGACCCAAAAAGAGCCCTACCTAGCCGCAATCAGACGAACTCTTCGGACACGCCCTTAGATATCTAGGGAGTCGATCGGCTTTCGTGCATATTTGTCGTATACGCGTTGTACACGACGAGGCATTCTCCAGAAGTGAATTTCACGACCACAGCAACTGGATGGGTGTTGCTTCTGGGGCACCATGACCTGACCGCGATTCTGTTTTCGTGAAGCACTTCCACTCAGCGGGACGGCTAAAAGTTTCTGGGGTCCAAGTGGAGCACGTGGAGGTAAAAGCTGGGCAGAGGCCAGCACTTGACCGCTGTTTAGAAAGTTTGAGAAAACCGGAAAACAGGCGCCAAATCGGAGGGGGAACCAGGGCAGGGTGTATTTTCTTGCTCATTGTGTGCCGCGTTTGGCGGTTGAGCTGAGCGGGAAGCAAACAGAAGCACCACAGCAGTTGAGGGAAATGGAGGGAAGAAAGGGAGCTGAACTGAGCCGAGCCGAGCCAACCATACTGAGAGCTTTCTTATCCTGACACAGGGAGCAGCTGAGCCAGCCAGGGGAATGCAGCAAATACGTGTAGTACAGTTTATGTATAGTGCCGTAAGGTCGATGGCCGATTTTTCGTCAGAACAGGACGCTCGTACGCACTGCTAGAGTTAGGTCTGCGAGGCTCGCAGCCCCGGGCTAGTGATGCGGTGCTAGACTCACCACGGCTTCACAGCTCCTCTTTTCCGGCCTTCTGGAGCCTTCAGACGCATTCGGTTTCGGTCATTGTTGGGAAAAAAATCGAAAAAAGAAATCTCCGCCGTCAAAGGCGCACTTGGAGACAGGATCCAGAGCAGAGATAATAATAGTATTTTGCATCTGAAGCAGGTTAAGCGGCGTGCTCAGGAGGCAAGGAGGCATAGTGACTAAACCTAGGCCGAACTGACCTAGGTCATCTTGACGTTGCGCGTCACTGACAGTTGTGTACACCGAGCAATGGACGGCAAGCCTACGATCAAACAGCCACGCGACGGATTGCAACTTAAGTCATAGTCTTCCGACGATGTTCGCGGGGCGTCCCCTTGTCCCTCTTACCGTCCCATCCCAATGTCTCGATTCCCGCAACGCGTTGACTCGTGAGCGTGCGCCGTCGATTTTCCAGAACGCTAAGCCACAGGGATGGTGCTGAAGCTGAGACCTAAGTGACCAGAACAAGCGAGCGAGGCGAGAGTAGGCAACGGCGGATGGCCGGCAGCCGAACGCGCATGGGAACGCCGCGACAAAGGGAATGCCGCGCGTAAACAGCTGGTCCTAGGTACTGCTACCCCGAGCTACAGACGATAGCACGAGGGAGGAACGGGAGGCGAGAGGAGGCGGCAGGGAGAGGGAGGAGAAGGAGGGGAGAAGTGGGATAGGTAGGAGAGGAAAGTTGAGGAGGAGGTCGCGGAGAAGGCTGAGGAGAAGGAGGCAGAGAAAGGGTGGAGGAGGAGCAGCAGCAGCAGGGTGTTGATTATGGGATGCGGATCGTCGTCTCTCAAGCCCGCGGCGACCAACGATGCGGTGGACCCTGCGACGCTGAAACCAGCAGATGCCAGTCACCAGCGCCAGCAGCCGCACCCGCAGCAGCAGCAGCAGCAGCAGAATGAGCATGAGGGAGCAGGCAAGCGGGAACACGCTGACGGGGAATCCGGCGGCAAGGCCGCTGCTCCAGACGCAGCGGTCACCGCCGTGGCGAGCGCCGAGACTGACCACGAGAATGCGAGGACGGATGGCGGAAAGACAGCCGGGTCGGGGGGAAACGAGGAGCGGGGGGGGGACAATGGCGCAACAGGTGCGGAGAATGCTTCCGCCAGGGGACAAGGGGGAACGAAAGCGGGGCAGGCGCAGCAGCAGCAGCAGCAGCATGAGCGGAGGCCGAGCGGCGGAAATGTGAATCTGGGGGGAAAGGGGGGCGGGGGAAACGCGCGGAGCAGTAGCAGTGAGAGCGCAGGGGGGCGAGAAGGGGGGACGGCAGCGCATATGTGGCAGCATATGCATGGAGTTGCGATGCGGATCATAGGAAGATCCCCCAGTGACGATCGGGAGGGGGGCGCGGGGGGCGGAAGGAAGGGGAAGGAGACGGCTGGGGGGGGGTCAGGGAGAGATAGGGAGAAAGAGAGGGAGAAGGAGAGGGGGAAGGAGAAGGTCAAGGGGAAGAGCAAGGCGGATAGAGAAGCGCGCGCGAGAGAAAAGGTGGGTGGATAAGTAGAGGTCTTCGGGACGGGAAAGGGAAGCTAGCTAGAGTCCGTTGTGGACTTAGACTGCTGCTCTTGTATGTCAAGTCAAGTCACCCTTTCTCGGAATGAAGGTTATGTAGGTTCGAGGAACATTCCAATCCCTCCTCCCACCGCCCTTTTTCCCTTCCCCCCGGCCCCCCCCTCCCCCCCCGACCTCACCTTCTCCGTTCGTTCACATTGCTTTCCCTCCCCTCCTTTTCATTGCAGAAAGCAAAGCAGGCGGCATACGACGAGAGGTACCTACCCTTCTCACTCCCTGGCTCCACCCCACTATGCCTCCTGTGCTTCAATCCATTCCGTGCTGCCGTTGTGCTACCGTTGCCCGCCACACCATTGGTCGCTGCACGTTTCTCGTTCAACTCATGTATGTTCTCCCCCCTCCCCTCCCCCCTCTCGCCCAGCTACTACCTTGCCCACACACCCTAACGTCTCCTCCCTTCCATACTCCCCCCTCCGCTTCCCCACACCCCACCCCCACCCTCCCCCTTCCTCCCCACCCCCTTCTCCGAATGGGCACGGTTGGGCTGCTCCGCCCTCTTCAGCCTGAACCGCATGCTCAAGACTCCGGTCATTTCATGCACGGGCGCCATACGGCAGAACGGCCGGTAGGCACACGCACGCGCTTTGAATGCTCAATCCGTCCTGAAGTGTGAGAACTTGATGGATGCTCAGAGGTTCTGTGTATTGTGCTTCTTCAACGAAAGAAGTAGGCAAAAAATATGAAGTCCCTGGATGGATGCGAGCAACGCTTCAGCGTCCTCGAACTGCTCTCCACGCCATCCCCCCTTCCCCTCCGCCCCCACTCCCCGCCCCCCCTCCTCCTTCTTCCCCCTCCTCCTTCCTCCCCCTCCCCCCTCGCTCTGACGCCCTGTCATTCATATCACTGCCAACTCCGCTGACTGAGACACACTCCCTCAAACACATCCGCTTCTCCCTCTACCCTTGTGTGGGTGCACTGGAACGCATGTGCCTGCCAACACACATGCCCCCACACATGGCCATACATACATGTGCGCATGCCCGCATGCTCACATGCCCACATGCCCACATGCCCACATGCCCACATGCTCCACATGCCCACATGCCCACATGCCCACATGCCCACATGCCCACATGCCCACATGCCCCACATGCCCCACATGCCCACATGCCCACATGCCCACATGCCCACATGCCCACATGCCCACATGGCCCACATGCCCACATGCCCACATGGCCCACATGGCCCACATGGCCCACATGCCCCACATGGCCCACCTACCCTCATGCCCATGCCCACAGCATCGAGGTGATGTCGTTTGAGGTGGCGCATGTGATGGTGCGCCTGGTGCAGCTGCACCACTGCCTGCAGGACGCCCCCATGGCGCAGTTCGCCTCGGGCGTCATCGCCTCGCCCGGCATCGCTGCGCTCGTCACCGCTGACCGCGACACCGCCTGGCGCATCGCTGCCACTGATAGACTGTGAGATGCGCGCAGGGGGAGGGGGAGAGGGACGGGGAAGCGAGGGGGCTGGGGAGAGGGAGGGGAGGGGAAGGGGAGGGTGGGTAGGGATGTAATACCTCGACGGGCGGACTGGCGCGTAGGGATTGGCTGGTACGTTCTGAATTGGAGGGGGATGTCACTGATTCTTGAAAACTCCAGCCTCCACGTCTCACGCTCCAAATGTCCCCCGAGCCCTTCCCCCCCCACACACAGTCATGCATTCACAGTTCACTCCTGCTCACATCCTCACATGTTTCCTCTGACCAACCAACCCCTCCCCCTCCCGCTCCCCCCCCCCCACAATGACTCGTTGACCGTCTCCCGGCCATGTGAGGGCAGGAAGGACTTGAGAATTCTAAAAAATCTCGCGCAAGGACCTGCAGGTGATTGTTTTTGACTCGACTCAAAAGTCACTTGCTCTCCTCCCCCTCCCCCCCCTCCCCCCCCTCACCCACTCTCCCCATGACGCCCTGACGGTCTCCTGGCCATGGGTCGGCAGGAAGGACCTGCAGGTGATTGCTCGAGACGTGGCCCGGTTCGGACGGCAGTGCCCCGACCCCGTGCTGCATGGGCTGCACGCGCTCTTCAACAGGTAAGCGTGCAACCCAGCCAACGCAATGAGAGCCTCCTCCTCAAGGTGTCCACGTATTGAGAGGTGTTTTCTAATAGGGTGTGGCATGGGTCTCTCCTCTCTCAAGCGGTCCTGGCCATTGAATAATCCTGGGTACAAGCTACAGAGGCAAAGAGAAGGGGTACAGCGGTCTCTCCTCTCTCTCCCTCTCTCTCACGCTCTCTTGCGGTCCTTCGTGTTAAAGCCGAGGAGTCTATTTTTGAGGCGCCTCAAAAATAGCGTCCTTGGTGTTAAAGCCGAGGGAAGGAAGAACAGGCAAGCGGCAACATGCTTCAGGTGACCCGTGACTCTGCAATACATGCCTTCCATTGACACATGCCATCCATTTTCTTCCCCCGTTCCTCATCGTTCCATTCCTCATCCTCCATGCTACCTCGCCTCCCTCCCTCGATCCCCTCATCCTCCACGCCTCCCCTCTCCTCCTCCCCCCCCAGCCTGCGTCCCCCATCCCCTCAACCAGCGGCACAGCAGCAGGAGGAGGACGATTGCCTGCGATGGCACACAAAGAAGGGCAAGGAGGGGGGAGAAGAGGACAAGAGGCGACACGAGGAGCAGCAGGATGGGGAGCAGGGGAAGCAGAAGGGGGAAGGGGGGGAGGGGGAGGAGGAGGGGGAGGGGCAGAACAGAGTGGTGCGGGTATCGGAGGAGGAGGGCACAGCTACCATTCGATGGCTTGAGCAGCATGCGTCGCTCGCATCTGTATGTTTCAACCGCTGAATCTTGTTCCACGTTTCCTTCCACAACTCCCCTCTTGCTACCACCTGGCTTCTGCCTCTTGCTTCTTTCCTCCTGCTTCAACCCCCGTCCACCTTGTATGCGTATGCGCTTGCACATGGTTGCATGTGCGGTGTGGTGGGTGCGTGGGTGCGTGGGTGCATGGACGGGCAGGAGCTGTACCACGAGATCACGAGCATAGAGCACATGTACAAGGCCCTGCAGAAGCGACTCAACGAGAAGAAGTCCACCGCCAAGCCCAGCATCATCCGAGGTGCGTGTGCTTGCCCCGTCCTTCCCCCTCGCTCTCACTCTCACACTCTCACTCGCGCCCTCCCTCTCACTCTCTCACCCTCGCTCTCACTCTCCGCATGCATCCACTCTCGTCATGCCTGCCTGCCTGCCTGCCTGCCTGCATGTATGGATGGATGGATGGATGCGTGCTGCTGCCAACCCCCCTCCCCCTCCTCGCCCCCCCCTTTACTTCCTCTCCCCCCAACTTCTACATCTCCCCCCTTCCCTTCTCCCCTCCCCCATACCCGCCTTTCTCCCCCTGCCTCCCCCCCAGACCTGATAGAGCACATGCGGTCGGAGCTGGACGCCAAGAAGGACGCAGTGAACGGCAAGCGAGAGGGCAGCCTGTGGGCCATGGGCATCAACGAGGTGGGGGGGAGAGGGGAGGGGGGTGAAGGGGGGGGAAGAGGGGGGGGTGAAGGGGTGGGGGCCAAGAGAAAAGTTGGGGGATGCATGGCTGTGAGGGAGATGGTCGGGAGAGGAGGGAAAGAGAGATACATGTTTTTTGTCGTTCAAGTTTAGTGAGGCGTTACAGAGTGAAGGTGTTTAGGGAACGAGTCTTTTTTGAGGTGCCTCAAAAATAGACTCCTTACGCACGGATTTTTTGAGGCGCCTAAAAAATAGACTCCTCACGCAAGGTGTTTAGGGAACAGGGGGACGGGAAGGGAGGAAAAGGGGGCAACAGAATGAGGAAGGAGGCATGGCTAGCTGGCGGGACAGTTGTTAACTCAGTGTAACCCTTAGCCTCAGTGGTCCCTGCAGTCCCTTAGCCTCAGTGGTCCCTGCAGTCCTTTTCACTTCCTTTCCTTGCTCTCCCTCTCAGGCCCTTTCTTGCGGCTCTTTCCATTCCATGGCGCCTCGCCTGCCATGGTTGTGCAGGTGGTGACAAGGCTAAGGGACGCAGTTGTCTACCTCCACTCTCGCATCCACACTGTGTTTGGCGAACATGGTCAGTCAGTCACACACACACACACCACACCACACCACACCGCTTCTCTAGAGCACTTGCTGTTTGTTTTTGGGGAATTCTAAAAAACACCCTGCAAAGTCACACACACACACCACACCGCACTGCCTCTCTAGAGCACTTGCTGTTGAGTCGACTCAAGCATGGCCAGTCACACACACCACACCACGCCTTACCACACCACACCACACCGCACCGCACAGCCGGTAACGGCCTGGTATCTATCAAGCTCATGACTGGCCGTCCGCACGCACATGTTATGCACCCATTCACAGTCTCACAGTCTCTCAGTGTCACACTCGCATACGCATGACGAGAAACGCATGGTCGGGCACACAAATCCGTCGATTTTTTAGGTGCCTCAAAAAGCGCCTCAAAAGGCGCCTAAAAAAACGTTCTGAGGCGCCTGAAAAATGGTCGGGCACACAAATGACACATGGTCAGGCACCCACCACCATCAGCAGTGCACTGGCTTCTGTTGTTGTATGTACGGAATTCAGGAGCTGCTGTATTGCTTCCGCATGTCAGCAAGTTCCCACGGGCAAGCACAGCAGGGGATTTGGTTTGGGTTCTCACTCCTCTCTCATCTGACTTCCCTCTCTCCCCGTCCGTTGCCCCTCCGTGTGCCACACCCATGGCAGCGCATGTGTGGGAGTCGTTTATGGACGGGAGTGCGAGTGCGAGTGTGGGTGGGGATGGGGGTGGGGGTGTGAGCATGGGGGCGGAGCGGCGGCTTGGGGAGGTGGGCATGGACCTGCACTACGCTAACATCGTCACCATGATCGATAAGATTGTGCGTGCAGGGGAGAGAGGGGGTGGGTCAGGTCGGCAGCCTGGTGGGTCGGGTACAGTGGAGTTATTTTTTAGAATTCTCACCATTTTTTAGACCCCACTGGATCTGCACTATGCCAACATCGCCACCATGATCGATAAGATAGTGCGTGCTCGGGAGAGAGGGGGTCGGCAGAGGTCGGGTCGGCAGCAGCGTTGCTGTGCGTTGCGGGACGTGTTAAGACGGTCTGCCGTCGGCTGCGTCTGAGCCCTGTTTCTCCTGTTATCACGGTTTTCCCCAGTGTCCTGTCCCCTGCACTAACCACCTCTCGTCGGCTCTCCATCCCCCTGTTCTCGGCCCCCCCCCCACCTCCCTCCTCACTCCCCTCCTCCCTCTCCCTTCCCTCCCCTCCCTCCCTTCTCGCTCTCCCCTCCTTTCCTGACTCCACTCTTCTCCCCTCCACGCCCCCAACTTCCCTTCCCACCCCCACCCCCCCACCCACCATCATGGGCAAGGTGGTGGAGCAGCACCGCGAGGCGCTCTACATTACGCTGCCACGTGCGGTGCTGCACTTACAAGCTGCGGTGCCTTACCCAAGTCTCCCTTCCTCTACCCCCCCACCCTCTCCCCACCGTTCCTCCCCAGGTGATGGGCAAGTCGGTGGAGCAGTACTGCGAGGCGCTGTATAGCGCGCTGCTGCGGCCGCTGCTGCACGCACAAGCTGTGGTGCCAAGTCCCACTGGCTAGAACATTGGTTAACCAAGTCCCCCTACCTCTACCCACCCCACCCTCTCCCCACCCTCCGTCCCCAGGTGATGGGCAAGTTGGTGGAGCAGCACCGCAGGCGAGGCGCTGTACAGCGCCTCAAGGCAGTCTCCCAATCCCTCCCACAACCCGCTCCCCCCCACTCCTTCCTTCCTCACTCCCTCCTTCCTCACTCCCTCCTTCGCCACTCCCTCCTTCCCCACTCCCTCCTTCCCCACTCCCTCCTTCCCCACTCCCTCCTTCCCCACTCCCTCCTTCCCCACTCCCTCCTTCCCCACTCCCTCCTTCCCCACTCCCTCCTTCCCCACTCCCTCCTTCCCCACTCCCTCCTTCCTCACTCCCTCTGTCTCCAGGTGATGGGCAAGTCGGTGGAGCAGCACCGCGAGGCGCTGTACAGCGCGCTGCCGCGGCCGGTACTGCACGGGCTGCGGCGGCGGCTGCAGCAGTCGGAGGCGGTGGCGGACATGGGCACGGACCAGCTGCAGGCTAGCCTGGAAGGCGTGCTGGACTGGCTTGCTACCATGGCGGAAAACACCATCAAGTGAGGAAGGGGGGCGGTAGGAGTCTAGTTTTGAGGGGCCTCAAAGCCAGGCGCGCCTGGAAGAAGGCATGCTGGTCTGGCTCGCTACCATGGCGGAAAATACCATCAAGTGAAGAGGGGATAGGGTGGGGTGGGGTGGGGTGGGGTGGGATTGATGGATTGCGGAGAGTCAGACGGTGCAGTGCAGCAGGAGGGTGCACGCAGCTACCCATCCTTGCTCCCTCGCCCCCTTTCAGTCCCCCCCTCCCCCACGCCTTCCTCTCACCCACCACTCCTCCCCACCCCAACCCGCCACCCCCCCGCTACCCCCTCATCCATCACCTCCCGCACAGTACCTCCCGCGCATCACCTCCCGCACAGTACCTCCCGCGCATCACCTCCCGCACAGTACCTCCCGCGCATCACCTCCCGCACAGTATTTCCCGCGCATCACCTCCCGTCCATCACCCCCAACCCACCCCCCACCAGGATCGGAGTGGACCGTCGGTTGCAGGGGCACACGGAGCTGTCTCTCCTGGAGACCCTCTACCACGTGGAGGAGAGGAAGCTGCAGGCGCTGCTCGTGGACCTGCTAGTGCACTTGCAGCACTATGCCAGTAGGGAGGACGCGGATGATCCTGAGTACGCCTGGGCGCCCATTCCCCGCTTTGCCATTGTTGCTGCTGTTGCGAGCGACTCCGAGGGAAGTGCTCCCGAGACGTCTAGTGCAGCTGCTGGTGGTGGTGCTGGTGCTGGTGCAGGTGGTGCAGAGGTTGCTGCTTTTGATGGGTCTGTTGGGGTCGGTCTGGTTGCAGGGCTGGCTCCTGTCTCTGAGGAACCTGTTGCTTCACTTGCTCCTTCCACACCTTCTGCTGCTGCTGCTCATGCTGCGGATGCTGATGTTGCTGCCGACGGTGCTGCTGCTGGTGCTGAACTCGCTGTGTCTGCTGCTGGTGCTGCTGAAGCAGACATGAGTACGTCACCTTCATTAGCACCGGCTGCCATTCCCTCTTCCTCCTCTAAGGCTCCTTTTGTGGCGGAGACAGCTTTGGAAGGCATGGGTGGTGCGACTGCCCCGGCTCCTGCTGCTGCTGCACGTGCTGCCTTCAACCCGCAGGCCCCTCGTGCGCCTTATGCTTCTTTGGAAGACACCCATGACGCTCACGAGCCCCTCACCCCTACCTTCCCCCTCACGCCTCTCACCCCGATCACCCCTTCCGCCATTCCGTGGAGCGCCTTCTCCCCTCTCTCCCAACCCACAGCAGCACCACCAGCGGGGACAGCTGCAGCAGCTGCAGCAGCAGCAGCAGCAGCGACAACAGGGACCGCAGTGGGAGCTGCAGCAGATGGCGCAACAACAGAACCTGGTGCCGGTGCACCTGGTGCTGCACTTGTCAAGGAGGGGCCAGCATCTGTCGAGACTGCTGTCGCAGCAGCAGCAGGCGACGGAGGAGGAGGAGGAGGAGGAGGAGGAGGAGGAGGAGGAGGAGGAGGAGGAGGAGGAGGAGGAGGAGGTGGAGGTGTAACCGAAGCGGACAACCGAGGTAGTCGCAGCGGCGGTGTGGCTCTTCGCTCTGGTGCCCCCCTCCCTCTGCGCGTGTCCTTCCCCACAAGCAAGTCTGTCTCTAGCTCATCCGCTTTTGACTCAACCAACCTCAAGTCACCCGCGTCTGTTTCGGCTGTATCTGAAACCGCCCTCTCTGTCTCGGGCCCCAACACGCCCACTCCGCTCTTCGGCATCTCGTCCCCGCTCTCCGTCTCCTCCCCGGCCTTCACACCTACTGCCATTTCCGAAGCTGCCAGCACCACCCCCGGTTCGATCTCTGCTGCCCACCTCCGCTTTGCGACCAGCTCCCTGGCGCCCTCGCGTAGTGCTGTCCGCTTTGCCGGCGGCAGCATTCCCCGCCCGCAGCACCCGGACGGGCGCAGGCGCACTCGCAGCAACCGCGCCATCAGAGCTGCTAGCTCTGGCGTGCGGGGAGAGGGAGGAGGAGCAGGGGGGGGCGGCGGAGGGTCAGCTGGCTCCAGCGGATCCGCAGGGTCTGCAGGGTCGGGAGGAGGAGGAGGAGGTAAAGTGGGGGGTTACAATGTTGCCATGTCGCTTCCGGCTGCGATGGTGCCGGGAGCGAAGGGAGGAATCAAGAGCTCCTTCGGTGCGTATGGCATACCAGTGAACCCCATGCACAGCTTCGAGCTCCCGTCCCACCGCCGTCACATCATGCCGCAGCCCCTCCGCCTCTCCCTCCTCTCCGACTCGCCCTATCACACCGGCGGTTTGGGCGGCTCTAGCGCATTCTCCCCAGGGGGGGCGGGGGGTGTGCATGGGGACAGTGCCCCGTCCCCGCTGGCGCAGCTGGTGGCATCTGCAGCATTGGAGGAGGATGAGGAGGAGATGATCCATGCCATGGCGTCGCCGCTGCCGCAGTGGCTGCCGGTGTCGTCGGCATTTCGGGAGGAGGAGGAGGGGCGGCTGCGGTCGCGGGCTTTCTCGCCTGCCAGCCCCACGCCTGGAACCCCCACCGTGGTGCCGAGAATGCTGAGCCGCGCCATGCGGAAGACCATGACTGAGTGGGAGATGGGTCCCATGGCGGATTCTCTAGCCATGGAGGGTGCGACTGTGAGTGGGCTTGGGGGTGTGAAGGGGAGTGGAGGGGGAAGTCTGCATCTGAGTGGAAGCGTCGATGCCTTTTTGGATAGTTCCAGGAGGGGTGGGACGGAGAGAGGGGGCGCGTCAGGCGGAGGAGGAGAAGGGGGTGGAGGGAGGGGGTCTGGCTCGCAGCTTGCTACGGGGGTTGGAGCATCAGGGGGTGCTGGAGCGGGGGTGGGAGAAGGAGGAGGGATATGGGAAAGTGTAGGTGGGAGCAGCAGTGCGGCTGGCAGTGCAAGTGGCAGTGGCGTGCTGAGTGCAGTGGCAATGGCTGGAGGGGAAGAGATGAGCCCAAGGGCTGCAGGAGCGTTCGCCGCCACACCCAGCAGCAGCAGAGGTGGGGGAAGCATGGGCGGAGTGGGGGGCAGTCAGGTGGGCAGCAACGCGCCCACTCCCCGCGTGGGCGCTCACATGCGGCCCGAGAGCTGGCGGCTGAGGCCCATGGCGCCTCTGCTGGTGGATGTGGACCGGATCGACGACGACGAGAACGGCGCCGCGCTCATTGCTGCGGCTGTGGGGGGTAGC